TTAGGTAGCTTCAAACATATACATACATATTTGTATGTAAATACATACTATATGGATATGTTCATGTAATATTTACTAGCTTGCACAGTGATTCGTTCTATAGAAAATATAATAAAGGAGAGAAAATATAAATTTTTATATTTTTCTGAAAGCTTTCAAAAGTTCATATTTGAACAAGTAAGAAATTATAGTCGAGCGAGGCCGACCATATAATACCCTACACCTGTTACAAAAATAAAATGTGATTTAATTTTCATAATAAAGCATTTAAGTTGAATTGTACCTTGCCTCAGATATACTTAAGCCATTTATTTTTGAACAAAATTGTAGACATTTAAATCATTTTGAAGGGGTCTTTGTATAGGGGCTACGGTCAAATGAGATCCTATAATTATAAAATTCATGAGAGTCATCAAGGCTAGTATAGAACTTGGTTTTTGCAGATTTCTGTCGAGATACGAGTATATTAAACATAATTATCAACTTAAAAGTCCTATTCGTCGGGTTCAGTTGTATGGGGGCTAGGTGAAATAATGGGCCGTTGTTAACCATTTTCAATTGGTTTCGTCTCCGATACCATAGAAGATCATGTGCCAAATTTCATTGAATTATCATCAAAACTGCGACCTGTAGTTGGATTACAAGGTTTAAAATCCCTATTCAGGGGTTCAGTTGTATGGGGGCAAGGTGAAATAATAGACCGATCTTAACCATTTTAAATAGGCTCCGTCCCTGGGACAATAGAAGATCATGTACCAAATTTCATTGAATTATCTTCAAAATTGCGACCTGCAGTTTGATTACAAGGTTTACATGGACGGACGGACATCAAATAAACATCAACACAAACCCAATATACCCTCCCCACTATATTGGTGTAGGGTATAAAAACTTTATACAATATTTTTAAAACACATTTGCCGGCACCATAGGCACTGTAATCTAGTAATATTTAACAAAAGAAAATTAATTCGGTTTTAAATGTTATTTCAATAATACTCAAACATTTATTGCAATAGATTTTTTATATGTATTCTTTTAACATTTTTATTTCTCAATCACTTTTTAAAATCGGTTTGAAAAATTTTGATCAAAAATCGATATTTATATAAAAACACACACAGATAATCGGCTATAGATTCTTAAATAAGGCTACAATTGTGATCACTTGTATTTTTCATTAAAAATCGATTTTAAAAATGGGGGAAAATATAAATAACGCTCCAATTGAGAATATAACAAAAAATCTGTATTTTCCATTAAAAATCGATCGGTAAAATAATAAAAAATAGGAAAAAATTGATATCACTTATATATAACACTTAAATTTTCTACCAAATTTTGAAATGTTCCATTACGTATACGTATTTATAAATGGTATAATATAATTCATACGTACAGTAGGCTGAATTTTTTAAAAAATCTGTATTTTCCATTAAAAATTGATCGATAAAATAAGAAAATAGGAAAAAATTGATATCACTTAAATTTTCTACCAAATTTTGAAATGTTCCATTACGTATACGTATTTATAAACGGTATAATATTATTCATACGTACAGTAGGCTGAATTTTTTAAAATTTTGTAATTAAGAAAGTAAAATATGTATTGCAATCGTTTTTTTTAATTTCGTTATTATTTAATTATATTAATCTAAAAAAAGAGTTCAAGGGAGCGGTCAAACTTTAGTAAAACTTCAGTGCTCGGTCTTCGTTGGGACAACATAAAGCCATTCTATTAAAAATAACGAAATTGTCTCCTAATGGAGGTGTATCTACATATAAATTAAAAAAAAAAATATTTTAACTTCATCTAGCAAAACATTTCCATATTATTAAGCTAAACTAATATGCAAGTGTTTGTATAAATGTATATTCTTATACATATACATGCTGACATATGTATGTATGTACGTACTTGCACCTTTATGAATAAGAAAAATAAACAATAATACATACATAGTATATATGTACGATTGTATGTATATAAAATAACAAACAGAACATTAACGAGTGAGGTAAAAAAAACAATATTGTTTATTTTTACAGCTAACGTGAAGTGAAAGAAGAGTTTTAAAACTCTCACCCTAGACATTATGGGCCATTTATGATGTCAGCACTTATAAAGTTAATACTCGAACATTAACTCGTTGGAGAAAAGCAACAAAAAGAACAATGCTATTAAGAAAATAGAGCAAAAACTGTTTAATTAATTTGTTGATTGTTTTTTAATTAATTTTAATTAACATTTTAATATCTACCGATGCATGGTCGCTGAAAATTAATAAAAACATAAGTTTAAAAGTGACATACAAAAATTTCATGAAATTAAAAAAAAAATGCACATTAGGGGTGTACAATTTTTTGTAAATGAATAACAGGATATGTTATAGTTACAATTCAAGACATTAAATTGTTTGTTTTAAAAATATTTCAATTATACGATATAGGATGTTGTCTTACTTTTCAAACTTTTAAATCTGACTGATCAAAAGTTAATAGAACTATTATAGTAATAGTTTAAATGTAAGAAACATGCTTTAAGAAGATATTATTTTTAAAACTTTATCAAGTCGATATGAAACATGCAAAAAGTTAACCTCCTTATCTTCATATTTCCAAAGAATTATATGGCTATAAAACAAATTTAACAAACACACACACACAAGTATCTGTACATAGTTATGTATAAACAAATTGGCCTAATTTAAATAAAGCCATGCCATGCTAATTTTGAAAATGTATCCTTTTTTTCCATTTAGGTGTAGACTTTAGAAAATGAGTCAACGTTTTTCCTTATAAAAATGTATAAAAAATGTCTTTGACAGCTGTCATCCTTAAAAAACTAAACGAAAACTTAACGAAACTCAACGAAAACAACTCATGTGTTTTGTTTCAAATAAAACGTAACTGTGGGCCGAAATAAGTTTATTTTCACAACACATAGAAAATATTGTCTGCTAAAGCAATCTCAAAGCAATGGTTTCTAAGTAATGAACAGTTTTTTTGTTTCCATTTGAGTTGTTGTTTTTTATTTTGTTCTACCACTGTAATGGAATACGAAATACATATGCATGTATGTATTATAGCGTTTCTGAATAAGTACGTCCTAATGACCGAGTAGTTTTGTCAGTTTTTACACTGGAGAGAGGCGGTGAGTCATAAAGAGCAATGAAGGGCGCCAATGTGCTTCGTTAAGTGCCGAACATTATTTGTTACAAATTGAACGAAACTTTAAGTTTGTAAGAGGTAGAAATGGATTACGAGCGTTAGTTTAAGCGAACCACGGAGACGAACGGATTTCGGGTAAAACCAACAGCGCTAAAATCTTTTATATATTCATATATATATAAAAATAAAGTTTTTTTTTTATAATAAAAAATCATACACATACACAACAACCTTCTGTGTCTCTTCTGGATTCTATGGAAAAGCCTTGTTATATAGTGATTTTTTTTTTATAAAATACAGTTAAAATGTATATTATGAAAGGATTTTATTTCAAGGCAATTTTCTATTGCAAAATTTATTAAATATAAGTCATACATCTCAATAAATAAACATAAAAAAATCATAATGAATAGAAAAAATCAATATTATTAAAAAAGTGATTTTCCTGCCACCAAGAAAATATAAAAAAAATGTATATGTATTTGTGTTAATAGAGGTCACAAAGAGGAGGTTCTTTGAATTTGAAAAAATATACATACCTACAGTTATATTATAGAGAAACGATCAAACATAATTTCTTTAAATATAAAATTAAAATCTAAATATTTCTTTTCACAAACTGAAAATATTTAAAAAAAAAATGTATCACAATTCTGTGTAGAAAAAAATTATACTTCGATTTTTTCGTTTTCGTAGGTTATGTATTCATTGTGGAAAGCTAAGAAGAAGATTTTGAATATAAAAAGAGTACGAGTTTTTTTTATATTAAATTTTTCAATACGAAAGGATATGACCACCCCAGCGCAAACCCAGTTTTGTTGGTATATTTCCTTATACATGTGAGTGTGTGCGTGATTTTTTCTTGGTTTAGTTTTTGCGATTGTGGAATTATGAACTAAAGTACTCTCAGCTTGCTCAACTCGTTAGTCAGTCAGTCGTCTGTTTGTTAATGTGTGCGTGTATTCGAAAACAGCCATTCGTATTCGTACTCGTTCGTTCTCGTATACTGTTGTCCTCGCCGTTATTTAAAAAAAGTTGTGTTGTGTGTGTGTATGTACTCGATTTCTGTATATTAGTCGGATTGTAATGGTGTTGGTTGTTATTTTGTGTGTGTGAGAATGATGATGGTGGTAATGTTGACGTTGTCGACGCCATCGTTTTTGTTCACATTTTTTTTATAGTAAATTTGTGGAATGTTTTTTTTTTTTTTTTTGTATCACTTCTTACGGTTGCCATACAACTCATCGCGTGCATCGGTTTTAAGTCCGCAGTGTACGAAGTTTAAAAATAGGAACAAAAAACACGAGTTTTATAACTTCAATAAAATTAATTTTTTTCCAATATAATAATTATAAACACAATAAAAATCCTAGTTGAAAGGAAAACCTGCATCAAATATTTGTAAATGTGAAAACAACAAAAAAAACTACATAATAAAACATAAACCTTTTAACAATAACATATTATAAAAGTGATTTATTAACTTAAAATAATATAACAAAAAATATGTAATATGAAAAAGTGAAGAATTAAAGTATTGTGCTGATAAAAATCTATTGAAAAACAATGAAAATTAATTACAAAAAAATAACAAAAACTAAAAACTAATTTAAATAATTCAATCAAATTATCAGTATATTCTTAATGTTTCCTTTTATTAACTTGTTTAGATTCCAAATTTAGATAAAATATTTCTATTTAAGTTGTTAAAAATTTAATTGTATATCAGAATTTTATCAGTTTTTTTATTTCCTGTAGACATTTTTTATATGTTAAATCAGTCCTAGACGGATAATTATTATAGATTTCAAAATGTTAAGCATACGTACCATTGTACCTATTATTTACGCTGATAGTTGTGTAGTTGCCAATTTTAGCCTAAAATAGAAAATGAAAATACATTTTAATGTTTAATAAATTACGTTACTCGATAAAAATAGTTAAAAAAAATTTAATAAAAATTTTAGTTGTGGCTTGAAAAGACCAATAAAAAAAATTGATTTTTTACTTACTTTTGTATATGTGTTAGTGTATATTCGATAACAAAAAAAGCCAAAAACATGCTATTTACTAAAATAAGGAAAAGCTGTGTCAATCGAAAAATATATACATACATACGTATGTACGAATGTATGTCAAAAATAAAACACGACATGAAATAATTGTTTCATATCGTTCCACATCACAGGCAACCATTAGGCTGCGACAAGAACAACATCAAAAATAAAAATAATAAATAAAAAAATTCTTTACAAATTATTACTATTATCCTTTATAAGTCGAAATGAAATAAACACGAAAGAACAGAAACAAAAAAAAAAACACAGATAAAGTTATGTAAATTTGTGACGACAATGCATGTCTGCATGTAGATATTTTTTATTGTATTTTTTTTACCAAAAAGTATAGTTTTATAAAACAATATATAAAACTTGAGGCTTTTATTGCGTTGAACTCAACAGAACCCCTCCCAAATAACTAAATAAAATAATACAAATATTACAAAGAATACCATGAAAGGGAAAATACTTATACAAAATTTTTACTCACATACATGTAAATATGTACATATTCATTTGTATTTATGTATGTATGTGTGTTAACTAAACATTTTCAAAAGCTGAAACAACAAATAATTTCGTATTTATACTATTTAAATCACATCTACACATACATATGTATGTATTCGTGTACTAGGGTTTCCGATTTTTCGATTTTTTTTTAACTACACAAAGCAATGGTTTCTTTTCAAATCCTATGATTTGTTGAACATTTATTTAATAAATAGTAAGATGTCATTAAACAATGAAATGCGTTTTGTCTGGAAATGATTTTTATTGAGTTATGACAATCTTGTAGTAAATGCGCTAGAGGATTATAAAAACTAAAACATAAATGTTTTTAACAGGAACTGTTTTAAATACATCTAATTGGAACATATCAACTTTTTATAGGCTACTACATTTCTTTAATGGTGTACTAAGTGTAATTTGAAAAGCAATAACATTTTATTTAAAATTTGAATAATTTCTAAAAATTCCCTAGAACTTCCAGTTTAGACATAGAAACCCTAATATAAACCAAAAAGTACTTTAAAACTATAGCACTATAAAACTTTTACCCATTTTCCTCGTTCTTGTGCTTTAACACACTCACGTCATGTTTTTTTTTCTTTTTTTCATTTACTGCTTTGACTACCAAAAGAAAAGAACAATATTTAAGGAAATAAAATTTAGTTTATGTCAAACCGGCAGGTTAATAGTGTAACATTTACAAGTAGAATATACATTATTAATACATACATAAGTAATTATATAAATAAATAAACATGTTATTGTTAAAATTGTTACCATTTCCCACATTCGCCATTTTATTTAGTTTTGTGCAACAATGGCGTATGTAGTTTCATTTTAACTATAGTATGAGTATCATTATTTTATTGAAAAACTAAATTTCTTTTATTATTTGTAAGTTTTTCTTCAAGTTTTAAATTTATTTTACAGTTTTTGTTTTTCATTTCCTTTGCAATTGTACACTTTTTTTCTGTGTATTCTCGTAAACGGAGCTGAAAAGGAAAACTGTTTGACGTTGTCATCGTTGTTACCTTTTATTATTTTTTTCACATTTTTCATTTTCCTTTAGACATCATGCTTTCAATTTTACCGATTATGCTTTGTTACAGTTAGTATTAGTGTTATTCACACTCACACACACACTAACACACTCTAATATAAACTATCGTATTTAGTACATTCTTACATACATACACATATGTTTACTAGTACATATTTCTGTATGTGTGTGCGTGTGTATTCAATTGCTGGCCTTGTATGTTTGTACACACTTTTGTATTTGTATGGATTAAAAAAAAATGTTAAATATTGTAGTTATTAATCGCGTGTTAGTTGAAAGTGTGTGTGAGATGCGTTATTTTTGATATGAGAGAATGTAGTTTAGAGTGACATCAGTTATTTACTGTTGTGGTTACATTATAAATGTTTTTTTTTTCATCTCTACTTTATTTAGATGACAGAAAATTTATAAAAATAATATAAAAACAAATAAGAAAATATATTCGGGCATGACCGACCACACCAGTTATGCATGAGAATGTTTAAAATCTGGATTTTTTTTATAATAAACCATTTATGTTGCATTTTAGATTAATTTTGAAATATTTAAACATTTTTTTGCTAAAAACCTCACTTATTGAAAGAGGCTATATAGGGAGACAAGGGTCAAAACTTTTATTTACTTTTATATAAAAGTTAATTATACCCAATTTAGTGAAACTATAGTTTTTAGAAGTGAATTATGGACATTCTAGCCATTTTCTGAAATGTTCTTTGTATAGGGGCTAGGGTCAAATCAGGTCCGATCAGTACGAAAATTTTAATTATTCATTCAGGATTACAAAAGAACTTAGTTCTGCCAATTTTTGCAAAGATTCTAAAATATTATGGGCTCCGGTTGTATGGGGGCTAGTTGAAATAATAAAATAACGTATGTCTAAATTTCGAGGAGACCCAGAAAGTGGTTCTGAGCCAAGGCGTTACTAACATTACACAAACGCATAATACTGTATCTTTCGCTCGAGGTTTACATGGACTCGGAGACCCAGAAAGTGATTCTAAACCAATTGGTATACTTTGATTACTTTTATCTTTGGGCGTTACAAACATTAGCACAAACACATGATACTCTCCCCAATATAGTGGTGTAGGATATACTGGAAATGCAATACATACTGACATACATACATATGTACATACATACATACATACATACATACATACATACATACATACATACATATATACATACATACATACATACATACATACATACATACATACATACATACATACATACATACATACATACATACATACATACATACATACATACATACATACATACATACATACATACATACATACATACATACATACATACATACATACATATGTATATTTTTATGTCCAATAGATTTATTAATAAACTATGTTATTATCTTTTGTTGAACATTTATAATTGAATTTAGTAAGTTATTAAAGTACTAAAAAAATATGTGGGAATATAGTGATTAGCAAGAATATGCTAATGTATGCTTAATGAAGGTTTAGGTTTGTTTTAGGTGTATTCATAATATAGAATAATTTATGGTTTTATTAATAAAAATGTGTAACAGGTAGGATTACAAAAATTAGTCTATTGTAATTAAACATTTCAACATGTAGAATTGATTGTTTTAAGATAATACAACTTTGTAGCATAGAGTTGTCTATTTAATTCGAAAAAAATTTATATGGACTACTAGTTATTTGGCTTTTTTGCTTAATTTTTATTTTGTTTAAACATAAATAATGTTATATTTGCAATCAAGAAATTGTAGCGGCATTTTGAATACTTAAATTCGCCTAATTTAATCTATTAAGCCATGTTAAAAGTGTAAGAGAAACTGAAAGTAAAATATTTCTCTCCGGCGAATTGACTATTATAACAGACACTGTTAAAGCATGAATGAAAATATTTTTTTGATGTTATCCCCTTTCATTATTTGACTAAGTAAAGTTTAACATGACGTTTTGCCTTTTGGTTACGTTTTGGTGTTTGATATGAACGGTTGGCTTTTGAAATAACAGACAAAAAAAAAAGAACAATGAAACAATAAAAAAGTATACATTATAAAAAATATTCATAAAAAAGTAAATAAATTAATGGAAAAAAGTGCTTTTTATACAAAAAATATTTAAAATTTTTTTTTTAATTTTCAAGCTGTTAGGAGTGTCCTTTTTTTAGGTTAAAAACATATATTCGAATTTTATATACATATATATGTATTTGTATATGTATGCTTGTGTGTGTATGAAGAAAATTGTGAAAAAAGTTTAACCTCATTTCGTTGTCGTTTTTCATAGTCAATACAATTCCTTATACATTTATATTTTTATGTATTTTAGGCAGCTGCACAAAACTTCAATTAGGAAATAAAAAAACTAAAAATATATATGTAAATTTATTAAAAGATTGCTTTAAAACTAAATAAAATCCATCAAATGTTGCTGTTATCGTCATAATCTCACATATAAAAAAATAATAAAATAATATTCTATGTATTATTATATAAGAAGTGCAACAATTTAAATATCTACAAGAAATAAATATTTAAATGAAACAAACATATTTGTATAACAAAAATTAACACGGAAAATCATTTTTTTCACAAAATTAAAAATATATTAGTTATTTTAAAATAAATGTTTAGTGCATATATAATTTCAGTAAAAAAAAATAATATAAAATGAGTGAACTACTTTTTTTTAACATATATTAATGTTCTTTCAATGAATTTAGCATAAAATAATCATAAAAAACTAAAAAAGGAAAAATAAATAACCAATAATCCAAAAAGTAAAATATACAATAAATTTATGAATAAAAAACACGCTTGGAGCTTCAAGAATTACAACACAAAATAAAAACAGCCTGGAAATCCAAACCAAATTAACACCAAATTACTAAACCTCATATAATAAGGAAAATAAAATTAATTAAATATTTATTGCAATAAATATTAAATAAAAATATTAAATACACGCAAATCTTATAAAACGATCGATTGGCATCGATTTACAGTAAGTATAAGAAAAAAATTCAATGAAAATTATTTTCAATTACACATACATAAGCAAAAAAATCTCTTTTTTTTTCCTTTAACATTTACACTACGCTCTCAGCGACATGAACAATAATATATCCTTGTATATGTATAGACTCTATTAATAACAGTTATGTTAAAGTTAGTTAGCCTTTCTCACTCTCTCTCTTTTCTCTGGCTCTCTCAGGAACTGTTTCTTTCATCACTTACTTTTCCCTACTTTTCATTGCTGCCAAAGTTTGACATTTCTGTGAGAATTTTCTTGCTTTTTCGTGTTTCGTTAAGTTTTTCTTTTCCTTTATTTAATTCATCTGTCATTCGGATGGACAGCATTTTACTGCGCAGTTGTTAAACATTTCAAAAAAGAAAAACCAATGTCTGTCATTATTTCGTTTTACCTACTTTCTCATCCTACAAAATAGGAAAGAGTTTTCATTCGTTTTTTTTTTATTCGCAAAACATTTCCCGTCCTCTCTCAATAAAAAAACAAAAGAACGGTGAATTAAAGTGTGCAAAAGTTATTGTCCAAGTTCATAGTACACAAAATATCTTAAACAATCGTTCTAAATGCGTTATATGTGTGTGTCATTCAATCTGTCAGAAAAGAAAATAAGTTCTTTTCAAAGAGTTTTATTAAATCTTCTTTCTGTGAAATTTGTTTGCACTCAATAATCTGGCACGTGAGAATTGTCTTAAATTTTGTGTTTTATTTTTATTTTTTTGAAAAATATCAGCTTATCTGTGGTCTAATGATGCATTGGGATTTTTGTTGAGAGGTCAACTAATTAATGAGTGTTATCACTTGTTGTTTTATTTTCAAATAAAACCGAAATTTAAACCCATTTAAGATAATGCAAAATAATCAGCTATAAATTTGTTTGAAAACATTCATTAATGGAACTTAATGATGTGGACGTCTAGGTACAGTGTTGCTGATAATATAATAATCAGCTAAAGGCCCGATTAATAAACAAATTACTTAGTTTAGTAAGAAGCAAATAAAACCAGTTTAATGTTTTGTTTAAAATTAAATACAAATAATTAGTGAATGTTTACAATTCTTATTTAATTTCAATACTGAACAAAATTCCATTCCAAGTTGATCGGAAAACTATAGAAATAACATTCAAAATAACGTATAAAAACATTTGTAATCTAGTAGCATATTGGCTATTTATCTATTTAAGAGTTCTTAATTACTACTTGTTAATTTTTAAAACCCATAATTGGAAACATCAAGAAAAGGTCCTCTAATAAAATTTTAATATTTAATTTTTCGAACATATCTCCGTATTTTCGAACATTATTACTGGATACCATTTTTCGGGCCCTTCTGACTATGGTTATATAAAACTATATAAAGTAACAAATCATTGAGGGAATAACAAAAATTTGTTTGTTGCAATTGAGGGAACTAGCATGGAAGTTACATATAGTAGATTAAATAAAGCAGTCTGAAATGAGAGTTATAGTTCGATTTGTTTTATGTTCGATTGCAACAAATTAATTTTGCTTACATTCGAAGTATTAAGGTCAAAATACATACATACAATGTAGGTTTTTGAATTCAAATTTATCTAAATATAATATAATAGTAGAAAGTATTGTTGAGTATTCTTTGTTAAAATGCACTTTTTTGGCAAATTTTCCCATTTACCATATGGGCGTATGAGTGATATGCATTAATTATATTAAGTATACTCAATTACATGCAGAATTTCTCAACAAAAAAAAAAAAACGAGGAAATTCATTCCAGATTAAATCATCAAAGCCATCAAATGTAACATCAACATGTAAATGTTGTCTTTCGATCACCTTTAATATCGCTCTAATTCTTGTGTATTCTACACAGTCGAGTACTTTACTCTCCCCTAACACATTTAAAATTATTAGGTTATGGTTTATTTATGGGTTCACGAGAGATACATTAAATTATCTAGAGGTGTTTAGAAGGAGTGCCATTAGTATGTATGTAATTTAATTTGAAAATTGTCGCGATATGCAAACAGTAAATCGACATACCTTAACTCCTGAGTGGAGGCAAGTCTAAAATATTATAATGAAGATAATTTGCGCATTTTTCTATTATTTATTAAAATGAAATGAATTATCCCAGCAGTAATTAAACTATTAAACGTAACACACAAAGACTACATCCTTATATACAAACAAAGATACCCATACTTAGTATGTAAATATATGTACGTACTTATGTACATATATGAGCAAGTTTGTGTGTTGAACAGAGAAATTCATAAATTGCTTAGATATGCATACATTACATTTAATGAACACACATGCAGTATTTATTAGGAAAATACCCACTCACACTTACAACACACATACAAATACATATTAAAACCTAGCTAATATATCATTGCATACATACATATGTACAAACAAATATACTTACATACATCATAAGGATTATTTGCGTCAGTTAGTGGCCACACAATGAAATTGTTTTTGTTCGTTTTCCTTACAGTTTTCTACCATGAAAATGTGTATTAATGTTTTTGTCTTTTTTTATTGTTTATTTGCAGAATACGTGTCTGTGGCGGGCGCTTGTTTGAAGATGGCGCCTCGGATATAGTTGTAATTTTGATGTAGCAGGCGACATACATGTGCCTAATGTAAGTGTGCGTAGTACTAAATAAATAAGCAGTAGTTTTTGGTTTTTATTTTGTTGTTTTTTTTCTTTTGTACGAGTATGTATGAATGAATTATATTTTTTTATGTATAATAATAATTATAATATATATGTGATTGTGTCTTCGTACTAATGGAAATTTGAAAAAAAATTAAAAAAAAAAACAAACAAACAAACGAATAGGCCTTGGAAAACTGAGGCTCTCATCGTTGGCCGCATAGACAATGACAGAAGATTCCGACTCGATATCTGAGGAAGAACGTAGTTTGTTCCGTCCCTTCACCCGCGAATCATTGGTGCAAATAGAAAATCGTATCGCTGAACATGAAAAACAAAAGGAACTGGAAAGAAAGAGACTCGAAGGAGAGGCGCCGGTAAATATTACGAAACTAAAATTTATTTTCTTCTCTACTTATATCTTTGTGTTAAAAATTCAATCAGTGTATGATCTGTTGTCCAATAAACTTATGTATGTATATGTATGTATGTGTGTGGTCTATTTTAAACAATAAACCTACATACATACACATATGTATATGGAAACAGTTAAAAACATACATATATGTTTATGTATATGTGTATTTTCTTTATTATTAACATTATTTTATAACTCTAACTCTCTAACAAATCGTATAACTATTAAATGTAAATGTGGAATGTTGGCCCAATCATTTTGTGGTTTTATTATACATACATATTATTATTGTAATATTTAACTACAAAAATGAGAAAGCTTTTAAATATTTTACCTTGCAAATTTCATATATTTTTTTTCCAATTATCATCCTTTCTAACAGGCATTCATTTAATATGTATTTTTACCATCTCTAACATTCTTTCATACTAACATTGTAAAAAATTTACTAATAACTTTACTGTAACATAGATAAATATTTCGAATTGATATTTTACTTCATAACTCTATACTTAACTATCATTTCAAGACCCTTAAAAGAAAATCCCGTAGTAAATAGTTGTATATCTACTTATATTTTTGTTTTATAGATCATAAATATTGTAATTAGATTATTTATCTAAAAAAATACTTATATACAAAGTATACTAAACTACACACTATTAAGTGTATCATTTATAAAGTGTATGATAATTTTAGTATAAGTTCTCTTAAGTAGGTTATCTTTCAGTCAAAACGATTAACTCCATATTTCAAAAATTTTATGGTATAATATGAAACTTGTTCAACACGATCATGGTGAAATATTTAAGTTAAAATTCAAATGGAGAAAATCGTATTGCCTTTTTAATAAGATTTTTAGGTAATTTTTAATTATTTTTTTTTTGTCTTATTTTTCTTAATAGCTTTTATAATTGGTTGTAATGGAAATCTCTCTACGCCTACTTAAACTTTTGTAGTTACTATTACAAATCAAATAAAATTGAGTTTAATTTGCACCTTTCTTTCTTAATTCTTTTAAATGTTGTAATCTAAAATCTTTTTTAAAAGTAAAAATTAAAAATATTTGTAATATGTATTTGGATTCCGATTTCAATTTTACTTAAGCCAAAATCTCATATGTTTAATATGAGTGTCAATCAACTACTAAAGTGTCATTGTCACTGACACTGTTTGAAAATGTTTTGGATTTTAGTTCAAAAATTTCAATGATATGTTTTCAGAATTAAAATCTTAAAGTAAATGTAGCATGAAATATATAAATAAGTACTTCTGCAAATCATGCAACACTTCAGAATCCATTTGATTTACTTTTATTTGCAATTATTTATATTTTTTTAATTGTTAATTTTTTTTTTAATAATTCACAGATTACAATTTCTTTTTATAAATATTTGATGTTTTCTGATTGATTTAACATTGGCTTCATTAGAAATAATAATAATAATATTGACAAACTAATAAACTTGTATAAAATTACAGTTAGTTTTATTTTTTTTAAGGCAAAAAATTATTTTGTTTTCAAATTAATAACAAGATTTGTTTTCGGTATCGTTTTATTCTAAATTATTTTCTTAGTTTTTCCTATATTTAACTTAAAAGTTTATTATTTTAACTTAATTTAACTAAACATAGATTAAGTTTTTTTTTGCAATTTGCAAAGTTCTATATAAAAAGAAAAGAACCCTGTAGGTATACGTAAACACTATAATGTAAATACCAACAGTTTCATAAACCTAAATACCTCAATCTAATATCAGATTATATTTGCAGTTTAAAATAAATTATCAAAAACCATTTTAAAAATGATTCATTCTTGTTTACGCGCCATATGCTTTGTCATCTCTCCATTGTCAAACAAATAAAAAATTAACTGTTAAAATATCGATTTTTCATCCGTTATATTCAAAATATTTTCTTTTTTTTTTAAAGAAAAATATTGCGAATCTTTAATGCACCTAACAAACAAAGAAACCAACAAACAGACAGATAAATTTGTGTTGTTTGTAAATATTTTTTCATGGATATTTACTACTATTTTTTTTTCTTTTTTTATTTTTATTTCTTTTTTCTCTCTTTCTCTTTTTCCCTTTATGGCGTGGATTATCTACATCTTACAACAACAATGAAAAAACTAAACTAATAAATAAAAATCAATGAAAAACTTCAACTACTCGATTTACTTGCTAAATAAATTAAACTAACTTCTACTCAATGACTAAACATCTTGTTTGTATCCATAACCATCCGAACATCCAAATACCAACCATTTAAATATCCTTGTTTTTCTTTATGATGAAATCATTGTAAAAACACTGTAATAAAAATTGGCGTTGGCAAAAAATAATAAAATAAAATAAAATATAAACGTCATATGCGTCATCACATTTGTTTTCATTTTCTTTGTTACATTGTTTGTTTTTGTTGTCTACATTTAAAACCATTTCGTGAAATGAACATTTCAAAACCCTTATCCAAACCTCCCTTGATACACACTTTGTTATAAATCTTCTTTCAGCCGCAATATGGTCGCAAGAAAAAACAGAAAGAAGTAAGAGTTTTATTACAGCTGTAGCCAATTTTAAAGATTACTACTTTATCCATGTTTAACTTTATGTTTGTCCTGTCCCCAGAAATTATTCAAATATCGTATAATTTATTGCTTTAATTCATTCTTATTCTAACACTCTACTTACTTACGACTTCGCGAAATTCTTATTATTTATGTTTTGTTCTTTTTTAAATCACTTAACAACAACTAAACTATATACTTCTTTAACACTTTATACACTATTATTATATTCTCTACTCTTTTCAAATTAAACTTAATTCAATTCAATTACTTATATAACATTATACGTATAATTTTGTTCTTATTAATTAAATTTTTTTGTTATATTAAACACAAATAGTTTTTTGCCTCTAAAAAAGTATTGAATACATATTTATGTACATATATATATGTATGTATATGTATTTATGTGTGTGTATGTACTTGTAATGTGCTGTGCTTACAATATGCTTAAACTTATACTCATTTTATGTATTTTATTATCCTGTCTAAGGAACAGTTAATGGTTTAGGCATAACAAATATTTGTATACATTTATGGAAAACTAACGAACTATACTTTTTAACTTTTTTTAAATATTTGTTTAAATTTTGTAATATTATATAATATCAAATTGAGTTTCTGAATATCCCAGATATCTTTAGAATACAAATATTGTTTCATTTTATGAGATAATAGTAAAGAACTATGCCTTTTAAACATATTCAAAATAAGAGTCAACTGTCACTTGTTTTATAATTGATGATGATAATGAGTCACTGATGATGAAGTAGTCATATTCATATTGTATATAATGTAATGCAATCGGGGAATCGAACCCACAAACACACTACTAATTAACTCACAGGTTTATCCATAGTAAATTCGTGTTCAATTTGATCCTCCCAAAGGACAAATGTCAATCATTTTTTAATAACTTAATATACAATAACTAATATACCATTAACTGTTCCAAATCTAGTTAAAACTATTATTTTGCAAATTTACTCGCAATAACAAATTACTAAAAAAAAAGTCTGAAGAAGCCAAACGTAAAGGAATTACGATTAACATTTTTGTTATTCTTCATTGGCGCAATGTTCGCAAACATTATTTTATGTTTCTTTTATTTCCTGTTTTATACACTGTAAGTGTTAGTGAATATAACACATACCTAGATACATAAATAAACACAACACATATATACAAAACAACCACTTAAAAAAGTAGGTCGTGGAGCTAAATTTGCCAAAAAAGGCAAAAGAGGAGACCAATACCCTAAAAACATAAACTCACACAACATAAAGAATACGAATAAGAAAAATACCATAAAAACATTAAAGGAAATACAGAAACAAATTACAATTTACATTACTTTTCCTTTTATTTTTCCATTCTACTTATGAAAAATTTACAAATGAAAACAGAGAAAATTTGACTAGAGAGCAGTGTGTGTGTATAAGTACTTTATATATACACAAAATGTATTTGTATGAATAATTATGTGCCTCAACTTATACAAACACAAAATACATACATACATGTTGTATTTAGTTGTTATTGTTGCTGTTTTCTTTTCTCATAATTCTCATATTTTATTCCATGTTTATACAAGTACTCTGGTATTGTTATTATTATTTAAACTAATTTATTAAATATGTTAGTATTTACCTACATAAATACGTACATGTGTATGTGCGTAAATTGGTTGTTTGGTTAGGGTCATGCTATTTTTTTGTCACTATTTATTTCCGTTTCCTATAATAAGCTCAATATGCATAACAAACTAACTCACCGTTAAATAAATTCTATGTGTGTGTGGTGTATAAGTGTGTCTGATAGAGAGTGTGTGTGTGTATGTATGTGTATACGTCTTTTACGCTGTAGTTTTGAATATTTTTATATTATTTATATGCAAGCTTGTGTTTTTATATTCTAAAAGAAACATTCTATTACTACTTTACACTAAAAATATGACTAATACTTTTATGTTTTCGAAATTATTATTGTTTCTGTTTTTTACATTATTATTTTATTAAATATACAGACACTACAATACATTACCTCTACGTTAGGGCTCCTTTAACACCAGCCCAAAGAAATACACTTTGTTAGAAGAAATCTGTAACGTTTATATTCAATTCATTCATTTGCATATAACTAGTAAACTAAGATAATAACTATAGTTAGTTGTAGTTGCTTTTGGCAACGATTAGTCTTAAAGGTTTAGATTTTCTTTTGACCATACTATGCAGATGTCTGATGATTTTTTTGTCGACGTGTGAACACGCTAAGAAGAGCCAAATAAATCAAATAAATTTAACTCATACATAGCGTTTGTAAAAAAAAAAAATCAACAATATTATGTATGAGATATTTAGATCATTACAATGGTTCTACTGTCGGCATTCATTTTTAAAATATTTATTTTTCCGTTAATCACAGTGGGTAAAATAATTCTAAAGTGAGTTTTTTTTTTTTTACACGGAAGTAAGTGCTATCAGATTTGTTTTTAACTTACAAAACAATTTTTATTTGTAGTGCATTTATAATTCGAAAACACATTGTGGTTACAGGCCATTTTCACAATTTAAGATTTGATTTAAAGACAGTGATGTTTTAGAATAAAGGAACTATCGATTGTAGTTGTAATATTAAAGAAAATTCTTAATGAAATTAATATCAAAGTGAAATAATTTTTTAATCATTTTCGTGTATAGGGTAATGAACTCAAGCCTCCTACAATAAGTGACTAATCAGAAGATTTTTCTTAGAAGCATAATATTATGAATTTGGTATAATTTAGCAGTATATTTTTATACACTGAAAATAAACGAAAAAATCGTAACTACCTTTTTCGTAATATTTAAGAAAATTTTCATACAATTTCGTATATATTACGAAACAAAGCATTTCTTACAATATATGATATTTTTCGTATATATGTATTAGGCATGAATTATTTTCAGTGTATAAATACCAACTCTTTAAAAATATTAATATTTTTTTTAAACTTTATCATATATATTAGATATTTCTAAGAATTGTGAAAATGGCTGAACAAAAGAAAAAAATATACATATTTAGTTGTAGTTTAATAGTATAGAAACCAAAGCCCACATTTTTATACATTATTGTACACATTTTCAAGTGAATTTACATAAATTTTTGTAAACTTTATTCACAAAACAAGTAAAATGTTTAACTTAGAGTTTATGGAATTGGAAAAATCTCTATAGTTTTTCAATGAATATAACTTAAACTTGAAATTATAAATGATCAAAAATTCCCATATTTAATCTTGATTTTGTCATTTGTCCAATGACCTGTTTAAAAATAGACATACAAATATATGTATGTATTTAAAGGCAACGTCAACTCAGCACATATTAGTGGTAGTGCTACGAATATAATCAATATAGAATGTCAATTTCCAATTATTCATAACAAATATTCTATATTTAAAAGGTCACGCAAAGACAAAAGTAATAACTTTTTTGACGAAGGCGGAGAGAAAGCTACCACCATTATTATGGAAATTTCTTAAATACAAATATCAATATTTTCTAATGACACTTAATGGGAGTGGTAGAAGTTACGCATATTAAAACTATTTTTCTAAAAAAAATATATGTGAAAACCAATTACTCGGTATTTGTTTATTGACATATTTACATGCTAAGAAAAACTTTAAATTCCATTAATTAAAAACTATATTCTAACAAACTTTTTAACGGTATTTATTTAGCCACTTAACAAAACTTTCATTAAGGACCCCTTTTCTTAAGCTTTTCTTTTTTATGTCCTAGAAAATGTGTACTTATAACTGCTTCATTATTTTATTTTCTTCATATTTCTTCAAAAATACTTTTTTTCAACTTTTCTGCATTCAGCTTGTATAACAATGTTTTACTAATAACAATCTTTATTTTTTTTTAATATTTTTAACAAAATTATTACTCATTTAATGTAAAAAAAAAGATATTTGAAAACTATTAAAACGAAACTTAACTCGTTAAAAAATCCATTATTTTTTAATTTTTCCAACAAGTTTACTTTTTTCGGTTTGATTTTGTTTTAAACAAACGTAAAAATGTTTAAAAGACATTTCAGTAATATTTAATTTTAATTTATAACTCAATACTAGATCCGATATGATGACGAGGACGAGGATGAAGGTCCACAACCGGATCCTACACTTGAACAGGGAGTGCCCTTACCTGTTCGACTGCAGGGCAGCTTCCCGCCGGAATTGGCCTCCACTCCTCTCGAGGATATCGATCCGTACTACAATAATATACTGGTAATAAAGACATTTTAAAACAAATAATTCCAACTTAAAGGAAGTGTTGTCAGTTTTGAATTTGTGTTGGTTCTTAAATTCTATTAATTTTAATTACTAAAAAAAGTTAAACACAATTGTGCAATTCACTATCGATGTCGTATCGTTGTATGTCATAAAATTTATTAAAACGATTATTTAAAACAATACAACTACGATACAACCATGGTTAACGTGGTAGTTCACTGTGCGCGAATAGTCGAAAAGATTCCGTTTTGACCGGACCACTCCAGTCGTCAGATGTAGTGTTGTATGGTATTAGATCCAGCCTGTAGCAGTGAGAAATCTCAGAAATCTGAAATGTAAAAAAATTACTACATACTACGATACAACCATGGTTAACGTGGTAGTTCACTGCGCGCGAATAGTCAAGTAGAGTCGAAGAGACTCCGTTTTGACCGGACCACTCGAGTCGTCAGATGTAGTGTTGTATAGTATTAGATCCAGCCTGTAGCAGTGAGAAATGTCAGGATATCATTAAGCTTCGATCCAGATATCTCACCAAGGATAGATATGAAGTAACTGCCAACAAAACGGTTTCTTTTAACGGATAGAGGAGGGCATTCGCAGCGAAGATGGAAGACCGTTTCTACCTTTTCCCTGTTTTTGCAACTGCGACAGTGTTCATTGAAGGGTAGCCCAAGCCGACTTGCAAGTCTGCCTAGCACCCAGTGTCCTGTTATTACTGCTATCAAACTCTCCCGTCTACTTCGATTTATAAGGAGTCTTGTGCGTTTCTTATTGAAGAAGGGCCACAATATCTTGGCCCCTTTACATGTGTCTAGGTTATTCCACCTATTTTTAGTCTATTGAAGATAGAATCTGAGGCTACTACTCTTTATAAAGCATAACGGGCTTGCCAGAACGGGATCTGCGCTGGAGATATCAAGAGCAGATCCCGTTCTGGCAAGCTCATCTGCCTGTTCATATTCATAATAGTCCCTATGCGCAGGGACCCAGACAGGCGACTCAGCCTTGACAGATCTTTCTTGCACTGTCTTATTAATAGGGAAGTGGTAGTATAAGAATTTAGTGAGAGAAGTGCCGCTATCGACAAAAAATTCTATGTTGCCTCGAATATTGAGGTCACGATACAACCACACAACACCGATTGTGAATTGGACATATGTATGTATATATACATATATATAAAGCTAAGATTATTAGTTAATTTTCAAAACTGACATACATATTAAAACTACTACATACATATGTATGTGTATAATCCTAAATCTATATTATTTAAAATTTTACTAAAAATCTTTATATTTTTATATATCTTTTATAGACATTTGTAGTAGTAAGTAAAGGAAAAGATATTTTTCGGTTTTCTGCCTCAAAAGCAATGTGGTTGCTCGATCCATTTAATCCGATACGTCGTGTAGCCATTTATATTTTAGTACATCCTTTGTTTTCGTTATTCATTATCACCACTATCCTTGTTAATTGTATTTTAATGATAATGCCGACAACGCCCACGGTCGAGTCTACAGAGTGAGTACTAATTGAACAATATTTTCTAGATATATATTTATTTCTTTATTATTAGTTTATTTAACAAACAAACTATTTATTATCTATTGGTAGTTCTACTCCTTAATGTGTTTTATTTCGAACAATTTTTTTTTCGAAGTTTTGTTTGTTTTATAACTTGTTTTCGTTTAATTAAATAATATTTATTTTGAAAGAAAATATATCTAAACAAATTCTATTTATTTTCCTCTATATAATCAGTACTTTAATATATATTTAAAATACATATATGGTTTACTACATATATATATTCGTAAATGGTATTTTAGGCAAAGAAGACTTTTTTTATTCCAATATTTTTAACTGTTTTTTGTATTTAATGGTAAAACAAAAGTATAAATTTTTATATTTAAAATTTATTTTTTTTAATAATAAGTAACTTTTTTAATAAAACCACAAACCAGAAACAAACCAGAGTTAATTTAAAATGTTCTCAAATTGTATGAAAAAACGAGAGTAAATGTTTTCAATTTTTACGAAAACATCTAAAGGTAAAAGACAAAGTAAAACAATTTTTTTTTAAAAATAATTAAATAAATAATGTCATGCTGCTAGAGCTTGTGACTTACTAATACTTATGTAGTTTAATTGAGAAAATTTTCATTAAATTGATTAAAATTTCGTGCTTATAAATCGTGCTTCAGATTCTTGTAAATTTTTTCATATGATTTTCAAATCATACATTTCTGTAGTCATTCAAATAATTTAAAAAAATTCATTACTATATAACAAGTACATATGTATATATGAAAATACATTGTTGTCAGAATGTCCGGTAATCGGGAATTTAGATAGTTGATATTTTTAATATTAAATTTTAATTTTTTTAGATTTTTACAAATTTATTTATAGGAACAATCAATTTTATAAAAACAATTGAAAAGTCCAGGCAAAAGTATAATTTGAGAAAATAATAAGTAGAAGAAAGTGATAAAAATTTTAAGTTAATTTCAATTTTTTTGTAAATTTCAACATATTTATTGCAAATTTTGCATTATACTAAAATATTTCATAAAATTTCGTTTATTTTACGAAACAATTTCGTGCAACAACAAGGCCATCGTATAATATACGATATTATTCATATCTGTGCGTTAGGATTGGTTTATTTTCAGTGTATATGTATGTTTTCTAAGCGAAACAAATGGAATTTAAACTGTTTTTTGGGGGAACTTACGAAAATTTCATAATACGAATATAATATTATTATGGAGAATAATTTTTTAACTAAAATTACAAAATTCATTTTAAAATTAACAAAAATGTTTGCATAAATAAATGTTTCGTAAATTTCACCATAATGTTTCGTATATATTACGAAACAATTTCTTAATGCGAAACAATGAAGCATTCGTACAATGTATGACATTTTCGTATATATTAGGATTGGATTATTTTGAGTGTATGTATATGTATTCTGTGCGAAACAAATGGAATTTAAACTAGAATTTTTAGAGGAATTTCTTAAGGATTTTTTACAATATTTTTAAAACTTGAACTTCTGGCAACAATGTTTTTTGTTATAATTCTTAAAATCATTAGCCAGTACATGTACTAACTCCTTTCTTTCTGTTAATAAATTGTAAAGTAAAATTACTAACTTAGTACAAATCGAGTCTGAGGATTAAAAAATCATGGGCTATACTCTAATTTAAAAAAATTTAAGAGAATAAAAAATTATAAATAAATATTAAGTAAAACAAATTACTAAAAATTACAATGGTTTGTTCCAATAGAGTTTTATTTACGAAAAAATAAACAAAATTAGAGTGTGTTAAATAAAGTAGTATTTAATTCATTAAACGCTAGTAAAACATATTTATAATATTTTTGAAAACAAAAAAAATCTAGCAAAACCAAGTAAATTGTAGTAAAAATACCATAGTAATTAAGTACTTAAGTGTAGTATTAGTATTAAAACATGACATCATTTTCAGTAGAAACTTTTGTGAAAAATATTTATGTATATTATACGAAATTGTAGTTATAAGATTATTTATTATCGCCAAACATATAAATTTATTTATTTAGTTATATAAAATGTAGTTTTTTTAAACATTTCTGGTAGTAAGTTGTAAAGGAATGAGATAAAAGCATTTTAAAAATTAATTTTTTTAATTCTAAATAATATCAAAATTATTCTCCCAAATAAATAGTTAATGCTTTTATCCTGTTCTGTAGTTTATAAATTTAAATAAAATGTAAATTTTAAAAAGTAATTAGCAAATAATGTGTATATCCCAGTTTCTATTGTAAATAACTAGAAATAATAGCCTCAAAATAGCAAAGCAAAAAATTGTTAAATAATTAGCACCCAATAATAAGAACGAGAAAAATAATAACAAAAGAAAAACAAATTAAGAGAAACTGTCATTTTTTTAGCTGATATCAAAATTGTCAAGGTAGATTTGGTATCAGAAACAAGCACCCTGTAAAATTGAAGGAAAATTTACAAAAAAAAAAAAAAAATTAACAAATTAATATTTTGTGGCTAAAATTTCTTATTATTGACTTTTAAAATACATTTTTATAGGAGTATATTGATAACGATTTACTATTATTATTGTACTATTATGTTAACTGTTATTCGTATTTTTAAAATTCCTACAGTTATGGTCAATTTATTTATATTTGCTACTTTTTTTATTATTGTTATTATTAAATACTTTACTAGTTATTTTAAATATTTATAATATTTTATGCAGTTTGCCTGAAATTAAAGTGTTCTTTGAGGTCTAGATCAAATACAAACGTATAGTAGAAATTATACTCTTTTAAAAATTAAACAGAATAACCTACAAATCAGTTATGTACTTGAACAATTCAATTATTTAAGTTTAAACATACTAATACATATGCATATACATAAACAATCGTACATAACCTATTCTACATGTTCTTTCACGGTAAACGTAGTTTTTTCTAAAATTATTTTACATTTTATATAAAAATCGTATATATAACGACAGAATTTTGTGGTGCCATACCACAAAGCATTTCGTACAATGTACGACACTTTTCGTATATATTAGGCATTGATTATTTTCAGTGTATATAAAGGAATACAGAGAGTAATAGGGTGTGAGTATAATATTCTACAAACAACTTAATTTTATATTTTCGGTTGCTGTGTGTTTCCGAAGCAGATTCTACACATGTGTGTTTTAAAATCCATAAAACTTTTTCAACAAATTGTTTTAGTTTTTTGTTCTAAATGTATGCTATTAATCCTGTTAGTGGATAAAGGATATTTTAAACAGATTCTTTTACCAATTTGTGGTCCAAAACTGTCTGTCTTAAAGGACACTTGTAGGGAAACATGAAAAAATGTCCAGAATAATGTTGACAATAAGAAATTATGAAAGTCATTGAATACAAAAGCAAAAATATGTCTACATGAATATATCAGGTTCATGGAGACAAATTTTGTAAATCTTAAACATGATGATAGGATTTCTATATAATGGCTTATAAAAGCCACTCTATGAGAATCACATGAAAATTCCTGGAAAAATTAAATATTAAAATTATGAAAAAATGTATAACATTGAAGTAAAACAAACGATTTCAAGACAATCGATGCAATCCTCATATTTACATACATACATATACATGTGTAATACAAAACCATTGTATAATCTATGTGTGTGTAGAATGTTGATTTGAACTTATATGCATGTATGTCAATGAAAATGCTTAAAAGGAAAGGAACTAAAAAATGTAGGTTATGTGCATCACTTTCAAGTGTTCATGGTAGAAATGCACGACGACAATGACACAGTCCGTTAGACATCTTTTATACACATTCATACTTTCATAGTATGCATCGATAGACATCTTATTACGTGGGTCACAACATAAGTTTTAACATAAAGAAATGTTTTTTTTTTTCTTTCACATTATTAACAGGGCAATGAAATAGTATTTAATTTTAAGATTTTTTTTATTAAATCTGTCATAGGGTCTCCCCGGTAGGTAAAGTTATCAAAATTTCGATCAATTAGATTCGTATGTTGTATGAAAAGTTAGGCGCTCAGATGCCTACACACATGTATTTAAGTCAACTTGTTTAAGTCCTCATTACATCTGTTTTTAATAAAATTTATTTGAATTTTTAAAATTTTGTTGTCATGTTAAAACTGCAGAGACCTTCTGTCAGACCAACAACGTACTACAGTTGTAGATAAATGAATGGATTGATGGATGGTTGGGTGGGTCATCATCCTTGCATATGTATGTATGTGTTACAAATGTTAATTTGCTCTTTTTTTTGCAAATAAAATATCATAAGTGTTATAATCATACATAATATTAGCATACATATTATTGAAGGCCAACATGTCCTCAATATGCAATAAAAAGGGAGGCGATTTAAGAGGAGCATAGTAAGAAAAAACATGTAAGAGTTTATAGTCGGGCATGGCCGACCAGTGATTATGTAAAAAATGTTGATTATTTTTTTTTAAGAATAAAGTATTTAATTTCATTTTTACCTTAATTCAGAAATATTTTAACAGTTTGTTGACAAAAAAAGTATTTTCTAAATGAGGGGTTATATGGGGGGCGGAGGGTTGTTATGGTCAAATCCTTATAAATTTTGGTAGAGTTATCATCATGATATTAGTGTTTATAAGTAAATTTTCTGAAGGAGACTTTATGAGCTCAAAAGCCCTATTCGGGGGGTACGGTTGTATGGGGGCTATACGAAATAAGGGACCGATTTTAACCATTTTCAACAGGCTTCGTCCTTGAGACAAGAGAAGACTATGTGCCAAATTTCATCAAATTATCTTAAACATTGCAACCTGTAGAGTGCGCACAAGGTTTACATGGACACACAGACGGACGGACGAATAGACGCATGGACAGATGGACATAGCTAAATCGACTCAGAAAGTGATTCTGAGCCGATTGGTGTACTTTAACGTGGGTGTTACAAACATCAGCACAAACGTATAACACCCTCCCCGCTATAGTGGTGTAGGGTATAAACACCCACGTACATATACAAAGGAATAAATAATATTTGATATTTGTATCTGTATCTGCTCTTATACTCACACATGTACATGTATGTATGTATGTGGTCAGTACAATAAGTAATCGAAAGGTTTAAATTTTATATTGATTTCAATAGTATTTCAGTACATTTTGCATAACGAAACTGCATTTGGTTTTAATTCTAAGTTAGAAAATCAGAAATCATTCGTCCACATTTTTCTGTACAATCGTTATCTTCTAACCATAAGTTTACTTGTTAAGTATTTAGTGTTTAAAAAAAGTTAAATTTTGATTGAAAGTTTATTTTAAATATTCCTAGTAGGTTAAGTACGAACAAATGTTTTTTTTTTTTCTTAATTCAAAACTGTTCTGTATGTAACAATACTTAAATTAAAGTTAAATAAAGAAATATTAATACAAATTCAAGTTGAAATTGAAATTTCGTCCGGTATACAATATAAATAAATAAATATTTTTGTTTACAAATTAAATTGAATTAAATCGAATTTGTTTTAGTTTGTTGGTTTTTTTTTCTAAACATCTGAGTACAATTCTTTTTTCTAACTTATAATTTGTTTATAATTTATGTGTTATTGTATGTAAAAAAAAAACAACGATTACAAAATTCGTTTTTAGGGTGATATTCACCGGAATCTACACATTTGAATCAGCTGTTAAAGTGATGGCACGAGGTTTCATTTTATGCCCGTTTACGTATCTTAGAGATGCATGGAATTGGCTGGACTTCGTAGTAATAGCTTTAGCGTGAGTTTTATTATTATTATTTTAAATGTTTATATTATCAACACCGAGAGATAATTCATTTTCTTTATCATTTTTAAACATTTTACAAAAATTTTAATTGAGAATACTTAAAACAAAAGAAAAACAATTAATCTAGTTAATTATTTGTGTTAAAATTAAAAAAAATATATATATATATATTTTAATTTTCTGTTTCTTTTCAACAAAATGTTCATAAATTTGCCAAAAAGTAATTTTAATTGTAAACACTCCTAAATTTATATATATATATATAGAAAAGATATACTCCTTTAATTTCGTATCCCCCTTCCTCACCCTCTAAATAAAACATTGAACAGACAGTCGTATATAATAATCATTAGTTTTCTAAATGTATTTAATTAATGAGAATTTATATAAAAAAGAAACAATTATTATTATTATATACCAAAAGTAGTTTTTGTTTTTTTAATTTGTATTTGATGAAACGATAAATAATGGCTCATATATAATCATACAAATATTTATCTCAATATAAATCATAGAAAATTTATTATTTTCTTCTTTATTTTTTTCATTTTTGTTTTTGCTCAATTTAATAATGAAAAATGCATATTTTCATTTTCGTTTAAAATTGTTGAACAAAAAGTGAAACGTCTAAATTATAAAATGTTTAAAATTGGAAGACTCGTCTAAATGCGTATTCACTTTTTGAGTGAAATGAATATTAACCGAAACAAAAATCTCATAATTTTTTGCAAATAAAATCCATTTAAATTGTACATAATTATTGAAATTTACCTATAAATATTTTTTTATTTTCTTTAAATATTTAACAACAACTACGACCGTAACTAACTAACTAACGATTTAGTTATGTGACCATGGGTATAGATTTAGGTAATCTTGCAGCTTTGAGAACATTTAGGGTACTGCGAGCTCTTAAAACCGTAGCCATTGTGCCAGGTAAAGTTTTTGAAATAATTGTTCCGTATAAATCTATATAAATAAGAGCACTTTCTATATGTCTTTATGTTCGAGAAGAGTTATTAATGTGTTCACAACTATTTGATAGGTCTGAAAACCATCGTCGGTGCTGTCATTGAATCTGTAAAAAATCTACGCGATGTGATAATTTTGACAATGTTCTCCCTGTCGGTGTTTGCGCTGATGGGCCTACAAATTTATATGGGTGTTCTAACACAAAAGTGCATTAAAAGATTTCCCCTCGATGGGAGCTGGGGTAATTTGACGGACGAGAACTGGAAGCTACACAATGAAAATGTCTCCAATTGGTACACAGAGGATGGTATAGCGTATCCGCTGTGTGGTAATATATCTGGAGCGGGGTATGTTTAAACTGAAGATTTAGGAAATTATGTGGCAGATACTAAATGATTGTGTGTTTGTATTTGTGTTTTTTGTTTACGTTTTGTGCTGCCAGGCAATGTGGAGAAGATTATGTGTGTCTGCAGGGCTTTGGTCCGAACCCGAATTATGGTTACACTAGTTTCGATTCGTTCGGTTGGGCTTTCCTGTCTGCCTTTCGTCTAATGACCCAGGACTTTTGGGAGGATTTGTATCAGCTCGTTTTGAGAGCTGCCGGTCCCTGGCACATGTTGTTTTTTATAGTCATCATCTTCCTAGGTTCATTCTATCTTGTGAATTTGATTTTGGCCATTGTTGCCATGTCTTATGACGAATTGCAAAAGAAGGCCGAAGAAGAAGAGGCTGCTGAAGAGGAGGCCATACGTGTAAGTACTTTGTTTTTAGTCGGTTTCAGATATTATCAATTTCCAATTTTGGTTTGGTCTGTGCAAAATTCGAATTGAAAATATTTGAACTACCGATTTGAATTTCAGTTTAATTTGAATCGAATTTAGAAAGTTCGTTCTTGTCTTGAATTTCAATTTGATTGATGTCTAATTACGTTCAAACTAAAACGAAAATTAAAACAAACAAACATTTCAAATTGAGAATAACAATCAAATAAATAAATATTCGTAACAAACTCAAACGTTATTCTTCTCAATAAATGTTTTGTTTTAATTTTCTTTTAGTTTTTGTTTTTATAATTATTTAATTACTGTTGTTAACATTATAATTATTATTATCATAATTATTAATACATTTTATAAAATTCAATTATTCTTTTGCCTTTATTAAACATGTCTTTTAGCGTGTATTTTTATGACATTCGAATATTTTATGCCAAATGGTTGTTTTAATACATTTTAATTTTTAATAGAACAGAAATTATTTATTAGAAACCCAAAAAATATGGAAAGCTGTTGTCGATAAAACAGAAAAACTATTTTTCATTATTTTTTTTTTCATTTCATTTGGAATGGCTGAATTATTTGAAAAGCAACCAATCGAGTACCAAACAATAATTTTGTTACATTGCTTCAAGTTTGATAAAAAAATACTAACAAAAACAAAAAAATAAGTAAAAGCAGTTAAATGTTGTTGCGTTCTTTGAAAGAAATAAATAATAATAGAAATAAAATTTACTAATAGATAATTATCATTTGGTTTTCTTGTGATTAATATATTATTATAGGAAGCAGAGGAGGCGGCGGCGGCTAAGGCGGCTAAACTGGAGGAACGGGCCAATGCGGCAGCTCAAGCAGCTCAGGATGCAGCTGATGCCGCCGAGGCAGCACTGCACCCCGAGATGGCCAAGAGTCCGACATACTCTTGCATTAGCTATGAACTGTTCGTTGGCGGTGAAAAAGGCAATGACGACAACAACAAAGAGAAAATGTCCATACGCAGCGTCGAAGTGGAATCGGAGTCGGTGAGCGTTATACAAAGACAACCAGCACCTACAGCACACGCAACTAAAGTCCGTAAAGTTAGTACGGTAAGTACAACGCAGCTGGCTAATGTGCTTTCAAGTTCCTCTTTTTCTTTCTATCTCCCTCTATCTACTATCTATCTATCTGTCTGTCTATCTCTCAATTGCGAATTGTTTTGAAATTTTTATTTCAACTTTTTTGTTAGTTTCTGTCTTTTTGAGTTGACTATTAGTTTCTTTTTTCCTGGTTTTAATTTTTTTTTACCAACATTTACATTTAAGTTTTTGGGATTTATTTTTGGGAAAAAATTTAATTTTACTTAAAAATTTTTTAACTTAAAAAAAACCTCCTACAAGTATTTAAGTTTCTTATTTTTTTGATTAGTAATGCCCTTGAATGTCGCATGTTTGTTGTAAAATATTCAATTTACATTATAATGAATTCAGCCATATTTCAGTTGGAAACCTAATACAAAAGTAGATTTGTGGTTTTCTAAAACAATTCTAAATTGTGGAGCATTTATAAAACCTTTAAAAAAAATGTGAACTAAAGAGACATGCACCTAATATTTAAGGCAAATTTTGGTTTCAAAAAGGGAATGGCTATATACAAAATTAATACCAATTTTTCAAATTTCTTCTTTAAGAAATTTGTTTTCAATAATTCTCTCATACAAAATTGCAAAGTTTGGATTCAAAATATTTACAAAATTTAAAATATTTACAATTATTTTAAAATCGTTTATTATATCCTGATATCTAATATCAAACAAGAGATCTTTATCTTATCTCCTAAATAGTTCTTCATAATATTCAAAATTATAAAAGAAAATCCGAGATTAAAAAATTGTTCGGTTCCACAATTTTAGAACCATATGGCAAATATTACTTTCTTAAAAAAATATATGTATTTTGTAGCATGCTGTTTGAATTATTTAAAATTATTTTATGATTTGATGTAGTAAATTTAAAAAGCCTAAATACTTTCAACTGTTAAACTTTTGCTTTGCCAGCTTAGTTTTTGATTTTTAGTTTTAAGCACTTTAGAGTTTTCTTTTCTTATAAGAATGGAAATGTCTTGCGACTGATATAATAATAATATACATAAATATTATGAAAAAGCATGAATAAATGGCTAAAATATATTTCATATTTATCACGAAAATTCGTTAGTAAAGGGTCCTTTACACGATCACACTTTACGTACGTAAAGTCTAATGAAAAAGTAAAATGAAATTCCATCCATATGAATTGGTATAAAACAATAACAAAGTAAGATGGAAACAGCTGTTTCACTTTTTTTGTATGTGTTTACATAAAAACACATCCTGGAACTAATGCGACTTGCTTGTTTTTTGAATCATTTCAAATAATGAAGAGAGCCATACGACTGTCAAATTTTCCATCCATATTTTCTCTCAATGTGTGATGGTTTTATTACATATTGCGTTTAGACGATCCCATACAAAAAATTTTGACAGATCATATTACTTGTGTGCTCGTGTAAAGGGGGCTTAAGCAATCAAATTAAAATTAATGCCAGATTATGAAATATCTTTTAACTGATACATATATTAACTTAATAACTACAAAAATATTATAATATTTTTATAAAATTATTCAAGTTAGTGAATTTAAATTTAGGATTTTAATTTATTATTTTTATTTTATTTTTTTTTTTTGTAATTATGATTTGTTTACAACAATAATAATTTATGTAAACAATACCAGCACGCAGCAGCTACGGCTACACTTAAACAATAGTTAAACTAAGCTTAAACACAAGCTGCGTTAAACTTTCAAAGAATTATACACTTTGTTTTAAAGTCTATTAGAGGGACATTTACTTTCAAATATTGAAACGAAATTTTTGCGTTGAATACTAAGCAAAGACCTAAATGAAATAATACAAATATTTAATAATATTGAAAAAAAATACCTACATATTTAATAAACATTTATGTTATTATTTATTTGTTTATTGTTCGTTTTGTTTATTTATTAAGTTCTAATGGCTTGCCTTCCAAACTGCCTGTTATTACTTCTAATTATACTACAAATTGGCTTTAAAATTTTTTTCTAAGTAGAGTTCCCAAAAGTCCTATTACACTAGATGAGCTTAAAAAAAGCTAATTTGTAATTAAAAACAGTTGTAATTAATTTCAAAATTCTGAATTACAAATTGGCTTTGCTCCAACGTTGCTCAGGTAGGTTTTAAACTAGACTTACAATACATACAAATAATATAAAAATCCCAATTGGCTTAAGAATAGAATTTCATTCTATTTTATTTGAAATTTTTGAAAATATTAAAAAACACATTTGTACAATTCCCGAATTATAGAACGCAGAGTTTTAAGCAAAAAGGAGTGTAAATTTTGTTTATAGGCAGAACTAGTCTAAACATGATACTCAGTAATTTTGTTGCAATAATTAAGAAATAATCTTAGTTCTTGGTCAAACTTTATGTATAATTATGTTTAGCTAGTTCTATCTTTATTCTAATTCTTTTCAATAACAATAATTTGAATAGTAAAAAATAATAACTTCAATAAATTTGTTCAACTACTTTGTTCCCACAAAAATGTTTAAAATGTTCTATGTCTGATATTAATCATACGACATGGTTGAATTATTGTAAATTATTTATTTACTATTCAATAACATAATGTTGTTGTTAAAAAAAAGAAAAATATTTAAATTTAACATTAATCTCTTTGACAGTAGTTTCCTTTTGAAATTCCCCCTGTAGCTGTAATTAGTATTATGTTTTTTTTGTATTTCTTAGTAAAACTGTTGTTTAACTAGTTAACTGTAGTTTAATAAAGTTAATATTTTAGTTTGTTAAAAAAGTAAGAAAATTTAAATCACATCCTGATAAAAGTAAAACAAATTTAAATCAAAATGTTGTAAAAAAAAATAACTAAATTCACTTTTTTTCGAAATTTGTTTCCCTTCTTTAGAAAACCAACACTCACCCTACACATTTTACGTTTTTCTAGTAATAATTTAAGATTTACATACAACAAAAGATCTATGATTTGAATTTATTATTTTATTTTTTCTTCTTCTATATATTCTTTTTTTTGTGGATTTTTTGTTTTTGAAACAAAAAAAAAATAAAATACTTAGACTTCCTTATCCTTACCTGGTTCACCATTTAACATACGCCGGGGATCACGTAGTTCACACAAGGTAAGATAAATATTACATTCCAAAAAAATATATATACATATTTGAACTCACACACACACACACACCAAAAAAGTAACCAGAGAGAAAAAAAAAATAACAAAATGAATTCAAAACATAATTTGCACACTTGCTGACAGCCTCAGCTCTCTAACACCGTTCAATATTTTATATTTATATATGAAAATTAATAAAAGTATAATAAAAAACACACTTAGGGTTGTCATTCATTTAAAACAATTCACTCATTTAACGCTGCACAAATGTCATATGCCATCGAAATCATTCATTTATAAAAAGAAAACGAGATTTAGCTAAATAAGAGGAACCGAGCAAATTTTATAAAGATTTCTTTAATAATATTCTAAATTTAAACTGCTAATAATTTCCAAAATAGTTTGATGTTCTAAATTAGAGTGAAAATATGTGGGTTATGAGGAATTTCGTATATGTAAGTATACAGAAGGAAACCCCCGTTAGAAAAGTACCGAAATTGATACAATCCGTTGTCAAAAGTGAGCTTACCATGTTTGTTAACATTTAGAAGTTAACATTTATATAACACCCAGTTATGTTTTTGACAACCACTGTTGTAATTTTGAAAACGCATCATTGTCATTACAACAACGCGTTGTTGTCGACTACACTTTGTGTCATTTCGGCAATGCATCGTTGTAATTTCGACATCAAATCGTTGTCATTTCGATAACGCAACATTCTGTTTGACAACATAGTGTTGTCATTTTTGTAATACATTAATATTTGTTGGTTCATTTCAGAACGTCGTGTATTTTTTATACTTTTGTTGTTGGTTTGACAACTATCCCTACATACTTTGACAACCGATGTTATTGAAAATTTATAAAATGTGTCAATTTCGTACCCTCTGTGTAAAGAAATAATATACAAGTCTCTATAGGTGGACATATTTTGAAAACTTGGGGAAATATAATCTCCCTTGCTATCCAATACAATTGTTATTTGCCTTCGCTGGAAATAAATTCTAACAATATAAATGTTCAAGTCAGTAAATAATTTAATTTTCAAATGCAAGTTAAAGGGCCTTTACACGATCACCTTTTACGTACGTAAAGTCTAATGAAAAGGTAAAATGAAATTCCATCCGTATGACAAAAAACAGAATAAAAGTCATATGATATATTTTTTGTGTTTACACGATTGGTATAAAACAATAACAAAATAAGATGGAAACAGCTGTTTAAATAAAAATACATCCCTGATCTAATGCGACTTGCTTGTTTTTTGAATAATTTAAAAAAAATTAGAGTGCCATACGACTGTCAAATTTTCCATCCGTATTTTCTCTCATGGTGTGATGGTTTCATTACACATTGCGTTTAGGCGATCCCATCTTCTACACAACATTTTGACAGATCATATTACTTGTGTGCTCGTGTAAAGGGGGCTTTATGTTATCCAGGATTCTCCACAAGAGCTCCTCATTTAGATAAGATCTCTTTCGTTCGTTATTAGTTTCATCTTTTCATTCATAGATCATGATCATGAATCAGCATAAAATATATGATGATATTATTATAATTATTTTGAAAATTTTCCCTATTTTTTAACTGATCGCTTATACAACCGAAAATGTATAAACGATAACTTCTTCTATTCTGACTTCTGATATGTTCCTTTAATGGTCAAGTACTTTTAACTATGTATTTTAAACATACTTTCTCATATACACATGTGTCTACACACATTCGTATATGTATGTGCATATGTACAATATGTATGTACTCGTTTAGTTTAATTATGAATATAATTAATCTGGAATTGTATTTTATTTAAACATTAATAAGTTAACTAAAACAAAAACAACGAAATCACTTTAAATGTTTTAGTTTTTTGGTTTCAGTTTTATTTTGATTTTATTTTCTTTCTCTAAACTCCCGCACTTTTTATTATTATAATTAAATTATATTGAAACTTCTTTTTTCTAATCTATCTAATATCTATTAAATATTCCTCGTAAACATACATAATGTGTATTGTGAACCTATGAAATGTATTTATTATTCATTTGTTATCTATCTAACTACTTCTTTGAACATTTTTTTTATGTTTTTAATTTTTCAAATCCTCCACGTTGTGTTTTTATCTTTTTGTGCGAATATTTTTGGTTTAAAGTTTCAATTTTGATTTTATTATGTAACGAATATCATGTGTATTATTTTGAAAATTGTTTATGTTCAATATGAATCTTTAGCATACGTACTCTGTCTACATATAAAATATTTAAAATGAATACAGAAATGAAATTTATGAAATTCTTTAAACATCAGTGTGCTTATTTTCTGTTGTTCATATTTAATCCAATTAAATAGTACATAAATAAATTTTGAATTGAAATTTTTAATTATTTTCATAATTTTACTCATTCACTTAAATGGATTTTAGAAATATGATTGTTTACATTTTTTTATTTTTTAAATTTTATTTTGTTTTGAGTTGTAATTCATTATTATTTCAATTTAAACATGGCTCTAATATTTTGTTTGGTTTTTTTTTTGTATAAAAATACAACAAATAACAAACAATTCAAAATATGATTTAAATAAGTTAAAAAATAAAATAAAAACCACTACAACAAAATAAAAAAAAATCAATTCAATTCTTATATAATATTATAAATATAAATCATCATAATATTTTTGCCACTATTCACCACTTGTTCTACCCTAAATGTGTGTTAAAATGTAAAGCAACTACTAACGAAAAGTTCAAATAAAAAAACACCTCAGTATACAATACGAAATGGGCGTGGACGTTTTGGTATACCGGGTAGTGATCGCAAGCCTTTGGTTTTGTCAACATATCAGGATGCCCAGCAACATTTGCCATATGCTGATGACTCGAATGCCGTGACACCCATGTCCGAAGAGAATGGTGCCATTATAGTACCGGTTTACTATTGTAATTTAGGTAAGGCCGTTTATACATTTTCCATTCATTTGTTATATATGTATATTCTAATATTTGTTTAAATCCTAAAGGTTCTAGACATTCCTCATATACCTCGCATCAATCAAGAATCTCGTATACATCACATGGAGATCTTTTGGGTGGCATGGCAGCTATGGGAGCCAGCACAATGACAAAAGAAAGTAAATTGCGTAGCCGCAATACCCGCAATCAGTCTATAGGTGCCTCAAATGGTGGTACTCAATATGTGGATAATAATCACAAGGAGCACCATCAGCGTGAATATGTAAGTCTACTTAATATGAAGCGATACTTTGAGAATTAAATTTTTTATTTTTCTTTTAAAAGGAAATGGGTCAGGAGTACACAGATGAATCTGGCAAGATTAAACACCACGACAATCCTTTTATCGAGCCCGTCCAAACTCAAACAGTGGTAGACATGAAAGGTTAAAATTTATATATTACTGTTTCATATCCCCATTGGTCAGGTCTTCAAGACGTTCCTAGAGAACTGTTTAATTGAATGAAAGCCAAATTTTAAAATGTTTTGAAGACATTGTCCTTCACAATTGCTATATATTTGCCTTTATATATCTAAAATACTAATTTTTAATGTATGTTTCTTTTATTAGATGTAATGGTCCTAAATGATATAATCGAACAAGCCGCTGGTCGGCATAGTCGTGCTAGTGACCGAGGTGGTAAGTTTTATTTGTTGAATTTCGTTTAAAATATACTTATTGTTGCTTTTAATTTGTTTTATATTGTTATATGTATTTATATTTTTATTATTTAATATATTTATATTTTATTAATTGTATGTCTTAACAAAAAAAAAAAAAAAACTAAATACGAACATATAATTCGGCAGTAATTTTCTGTTGTAAATACAAATTGTTTTAAAGTTATGATTATTTTCTGTTTTAATTCACTTTTTTAACATAAAAAAAATATTTATATATACGACTATAATATTTACTAGTCATTGGTCTTTGTTGTAAATATTTAATAATTTTTGTATTTGAAAATGTGTTGCCCATACTTCTAAATAATAAATATATTTATTTAATTTTATTTAACAAAATTTGCTAAAAATATAAAAAATTAACAAAATTCGTTTTATGACATGATTAAAAAAATGCATTGGAATGTACATATTTACAAACAATATTTAATTTTTCGAAATTATTATTTGTTAAAATATTTCATTTCTTCTTAAGCTTGATTTACTTTAAAAACGTAACAAAATTTTAATAAAAGTCACATGTTAGGAATGTATATTTTGTGTTTTTATGTTTTACATCTGTTTGCGTATTTTCTATAAACCAAATCTGACTCCAAGAATATGGAATATTAGTTGACTTAATATAAAATTATTGTTTTGTTTTCAAGGCCATAATTTTATTTTATTTTCTTTTTTAATTAAAATTTGTTTCATTTACTATAAAGAAAGAATTTTTATATTCTTTCTGCGATTAAGTCCAATACCTTGAAAAAATGTTGCAACATATTTTTTGCAAGTATTGTCAGAAGATGTAATTAAATAAAGGCATGCCAATTTTTGTTATTATTTTTAAAAAAATTATCTATCTTAAATTATCTATTATCCTTTCCAACATTTTAAAATTTAATACCTAATTCTCTTTTTCTATATTTTTAGTTTATTTTTCTTAAGCCTTTACAACTTTAACTAATTTTATTATTATTCCCCCTTTTAAAATGACTTCTTTGACTCGTCCATTTTTTGCCTTAAATGGTGATGCTAAACTAAATATAAAAAAACAAAAGAAATACTCCATATTAAAAAAGAACAAAAAAAACTGAATTTGAAAACTTCATAACAAAACACATATGCTCACATACTGCCTACAAAATAAATTCAAATCAAATTTACTCTATTCAAATCAATTCAATTCTACTTACAACTATCCCTCATAAATTATCGCTAATTCTAAGTAATTAATTCAACACTAAAATAACATTTACATAAATATATTTTTTGTTTTTCTTAATTCATTCAAATCAGTAGTTTAATTTTAAAACACCTCAACAACAACAAAAGCTCTTAACTCAGCCAAAGCTAAGCAAACTTAATGAAAGCTTTAAAGCCAAATATTAATAATGCACCTGCTTTAAGCAGTACAACAAATCATTTCAATAATAAACTACTTTTTACAATACAATTAATTAAATCAACATTTTATAAAAAAAAAAACAAAATTGCAGTTTATCATTTTATCAATCACCTTTAAAGCTCGTTTTTCCTAAAAAAAAACTTTTAAGCTTTACTTTTTAAACTTAAACTCTTAATCTCAATATAAAATTTAAAATCCCCATTTTATTTATTGATTATTGTTATTGATTATTGTTAATTTTTTGATTTAGTTCTAATTAAGTAAAACAAATACAAAAACGAAACTACATATTTTAAATTTATTTATTTATATGTTGTTGTTTGTTTCTATTTCTTAAATATATTTAAGAAAGTAGTCGAATAATTAGTTGCATGAGTTTTTTTCTTTCAATTTATTTAGCATTTAAACAAAATTTTTTTATAGAAATCATACATTTGTTTGAACAATTGTTGAAATCGCATGCTTTAGTTTACGTTAAACGTAGATAAAACAAATTTATAAGTTTCACATACGAATATCTCAATTTATTGCGATTCTTAACATTAGGTATTCGTTTAAACTGAGCAAACCAAATACATTGAGTCCGTTTAATAATAGACCCCAATGTCTACGAAATGGAATATCCGACATAGTTTTGACTATATGTAATCATGCCTGCACTTCAGATATATACCATCCTATACTTCTTATATAGTATTGTTAATAGTTAAAATACAATCGGTACTTTCGTTTCTACGAACTAAATGTATCTTTCTTTAATTACACAGAGACCAGAAAAATTTTAAAAAGTCGAAACCCAGAGACCAAAGTTTATAACAGAATCTGGCTTCAGAATTTATATATCACATCAGACTTTTAAGATGAAGTTTGAAAAAACTCCGAAGAAAGTACCATCTGCCGACTTCAAAATAAAGGTTTTACAGTGTTATCTTCTTCTTTCTTTAAGATATTATTACCTAAAGTTTGAAACCACACTATAAATTTCAAAAAATTTTATACTTTTCTACAAGATTGAGCCCGGCTAAATCCAAAATTGACCTCAGATTTTCTTCATCACATGTAGGATTTGAGTATCAGAATCTGGCATCAGAATTTATGCATCACATCAGGTTTTTAAGATATCGTGTCAAACTCAGAATTTATATACATATCACATCAGGTTTTTAAGATGAAGTTTGAAACCCCTCTAAATTCCAAAAAAATGTATACTTATCCGAATCTGACCTCAGATTTTCTTCATCACATCTGGGATTTGAGAATCAGAATCTGGCATCAGAATTTATTCAAAACATCAGGTTATTAAGATATCGTGTCATGAAGTTTGAAAAAAACACCGTTCCCAAGAAAGTCCCATTGTTATATTTTCTTTTTTCTTCGAAATATTATAACTGTAACCACATAAAATTCCAAAAACGTTTATACTTTTCTAAAAAATTGAGCCGAGCTGAATCCGAATCTGATCTCAGATTTTCTCCATCACATCTGGTATTTGAGTGAGACAGCTCGAAGAAAAAAGCCATGAATTGCATACAACGTTTTATATGTAAACTAGTGATGCTCGGTCCGCGTTGCAGGCCCCCGATTAAACATTTGGACTATACACGTAAGAATCTATAATTGACGCCATCTGTTGGACAAATTTAAATCTTTACAGGAACACTTCTCACAGTCCCTGAAGCATATATTTAAAATTTTGTCCTATCAGTTGCCGTAGTTCCTGAGTTTATCAATTACGAACAAACTCTTTAACTCTTTTATTTATATAGATAGATAAAGTTGTCTAAAAAGGGGCCAAATTGTGTTTTTTCAAACTTCAGGACACGATATCTCGAATCCCAAATGTGCTGAGACCATATTCTGATTTAGTGCAGATCCTTTAGAAAAATATACTTTGATCTTGGGGTTAAAAATTGAGACAAAAATTCTAAGTTTACACGGTTGTAAGAAATTTTTTGTAAATTTGTCTATCTGAAAACCATACAAAACTTTTATACTTTTCTAAAAGATTGAGCCGCGCTGATCTGGGATTTGAGTGAAGATAACTCGAAGAAAAAAGACAAAAATGGCATTTTTTCAAACTTCAGGACACGATATCTCGAATCCCAGATGTGCTGAAACCATATTCTGATTCAGCGCACATCCTTAGAAAACTATACTTTGGTCTCGGGGTTAAAAATTGAGACAAAAATTCTAAGTTTACACGGTTGTAAAACATTTTTTGTAAATTTTTCTATCTGAAAAATACGTTATCTCGAATTCCAGATGTGATGAAACCATATTTTGATTCAGCGCAAATCCTTTAGAAAAGTATACTACGGTCTCGGGGTTAAAAATTGAGACAAAAATTCTAAGCTTTCACGGTTGTAAAACATTTGTTGTAAATTTTTCTATCTGAAAAACACGATATCTCGAATCCCAGATGTGCTGAAACCATATTCTGATTCAGCGCAAATCCTTTAGAAAAGTATAAAATTGAGACAATAGTTCTAAGATTACAAGGTTGTAAGACAGTTTTTTTTGTAAATTTTTCTATCCGAAAACCTTTGAAACAAAGCTTTCTAGATTCTTGACTAAAATCTTTAGTGGAGTTTTACTATATAGTAAATTGTAAGCAACTAGACATTAGACTTTGTTTAGGTTGTTATCGTCAAAATTATTAATCTTAACTATTGACTATAGATTAAAAAATTTGGCGATTAAAAAATTCTATAATATGTTTTCGAGATTTCTTGAAAACGTAATTCTCAATGTATATCTTCAAATCTAATTAAAAATATTCTAATATTTTCATTCCCCATAGAGGGAGGAAGTCCTCTAATATAAATAGTTAAAATTTTAAGTATATTTTTTCCAACTTAATTTTTTTTTAATTTTATTATAATATATTATTATTGTTTTTAGATGCCCATTAGTAAAACGTAAATGTAGTTTTGTCAAAACAAAATTCTATATTTGAAGCAAAATGAATAAAACAAGCGTACAAATAAATACTTAAATAGTTGTTTTGCCTTTTAAATGTTGTTTAAATAAATAAATAAATCCGCTTAGAAATGTTTGCTAGCCTCTTTAGTTACAACAGTATAAATGTGTTTATGCGATTAAATATTTATTATAACATAAATATCAGTATTTCTAGAAGCGTCTAAATGTCACAATGTGTGAAATGTGTTTTGCTCGATAAATTTTTTAAGTACAATTTCAATGAGATAATAAACAAAAAAAAAAAAAAAACATTGTTAAACTTTAAATGTTGCCTCTATTTAACTAAAAAAAAATAATATAAAATCAATCTACTACTATTATGTTTGTTATTCATTATTAACAATTAAAAAAAAATACTTAATAAAAACAGTTTTGTTAGAAAACGAAATTGAAACAAAAAACGGCAGAGTCAAAGTATGTCAAAATTCACTAATTCGCAATTTTACGGTACAGTCTCCGTTTATTATTTTCCTACAGAGGACGATGACGAAGATGGTCCAACGTTTAAGGACAAGGCACTTGAATTTATACTAAAATGTATAGACATCTTCTGTGTGTGGGACTGTTGTTGGGTGTGGTTAAAGTTTCAGGAATGGGTCTCCTTCATTGTGTTCGATCCCTTTGTGGAATTGTTTATTACCCTGTGTATTGTAGTCAATACAATGTTCATGGCCATGGATCATCATAACATGAATACCGAATTGGAAAAAGTCTTGAAAAGTGGAAACTACGTAAGTATTGTTAAAATCTTAAAAAAGATCGATAATTAATACGAATACATTTCTAATCTAATTCTATCTCTATACATAGTTCTTTACTGCCACCTTTGCGATAGAAGCCACCATGAAACTTATGGCTATGAGTCCGAAGTACTATTTTCAAGAAGGTTGGAACATATTCGATTTCATTATTGTAGCTTTGTCACTGCTGGAATTGGGTCTGGAAGGTGTCCAGGGCCTGTCAGTTTTAAGAAGTTTTCGTTTGGTAAGATTTCATTTTGCTGCTGTTTAATTTACACTTAATTTCCTTACAGTGTCTTGCTGTTTGATTTACTCGGAAACAAACCGAATAACTAAATCAAAACGAGTATTACTGAAAAGTATTTTACGAAAATCTCAGAATCAATTTAAGATACATACATATAAACATAATGTTTTAAATTTCGTACTAAAAATTCCAGCTTCGTGTTTTCAAATTAGCCAAATCGTGGCCCACATTAAATTTATTAATATCCATCATGGGCCGCACAGTGGGCGCTTTAGGCAACTTGACTTTCGTCTTGTGTATTATAATCTTCATATTCGCCGTGATGGGCATGCAATTGTTTGGCAAAAATTATACAGGTATTAAAAGGAAAATGCCAACTTCTATACAAAATTTAAATTAAATTTAAAGAAAAACAATTTCAATTTTAAAACTTTTCCTTAAATATGCCTTTATACTCTTTTTGAATAAATTAATTTCATTAAAATTTTTTTGAATAAGTAACACTTAAACTTTATTTATTTAAATCAAACTCAGCTTTAAGCACGTACTTTTTTTCTCAAATATTTGTTTTCTTTAACTTTAAATCAAAAACCTTTAAAAACGTAGCTGGATTTGAAATTTAATTGATAAAAAAAATATTGAATCAAAAAATACTTTTTGAAAACGATTTTTCTTTTACAACATACCAAGACATGTTAACACATGAATGGGCATGTATGAGCTGCGCCTATTCTGATTTTTTGTATAATATACTATATACCTACATACATACATATATACCTATTTTTAATTATATTTGAATTTTTAATTAATTACTTTTTTATCTATATATACTTTTTTAACAACAAAAAAATATTTTCCTATGCTTTGCCCGGCTTAAATTAAAACTAAAAAAAAAAACAAATGTGCAAAAAAAACACCTTCATCACACCCGATTTATTTATATTTATATATATAAAATCAAAAATCCATCAAACTAAACCAAAAAATCAAACAAACAAAAAAAATGTACAAAAACTGAAAACCCCCTGCAACGAAATGAAATTATAAATTGTGAACAAACAACAGCTTCGTGTATTCAAATTGGCAAAATCTTGGCCTACACTGAATTTACTCATTTCAATTATGGGCCGCACAATGGGTGCATTGGGTAATCTAACATTTGTACTTTGCATTATCATCTTCATATTTGCCGTTATGGGAATGCAACTTTTCGGAAAGAACTATCATGGTAAGTACTCTGACTGTCGCAACAATAAACAAACAATTTTGCACCCCTAAAATCTCAAAAGAAAAATTTATTCGAAACAATTAAATGTTTTTAAATGTGACAAAAAAAAACTACATACTTACATACATACTATAGTATAGTATAGATATTTAATAATAAATGAAATGTGTTTGTGGTTAAAATATTGTTTTTGATTGTATTGTATTGTTGCGTTGTCTTGTGTTCGATTAATTTAAATGCAAATTTTTACATATTTTCATAATGATCATTACCTCAAAGCACCGTATGAATAAAAAAACCGGACTTGTTACAGTTTGAGATATAATAGAGACAAGCAGATTAAAACAAATTGACATTTCCTGATTTTTACTACGAAAATAATATGTTTATGAGACTTCAGATTATAAACCAAAAGTACTTTGCTGATATTGTAGCAAATATTTCTAAATTTGTAAAAAAATTTTAAATTTATAGATTGACTTTCTCATGATCATTTTCACAATTTCCCTAAAGCATTCATTTGATAATATAAAAAATGTAACAATTTTCCAATAAAACTTTAACTTTAGGTCAATTTTTGTACTTGACGCGATTTTTTTTAACCAAATCATTCATTCAGAGTATAATAAAGTATTTTTGTTTTTGTTTAAAAATGTATTTCGTAAAACTCTGTAAGTATTTTAATTTCAGTAATTTTCCAACTTAAACCACTTAATAACATTTTTTTTACTTAAATCTAAACACCGTCCAAGATTTTTCGCTGGATTATTTGTTTGCCTCAGTAGTTGTCTAGAAAAATGCTTTCTTTTAACTTTTTTGGGCTTAAATAATAACAATTTTTTAAATGTTTAATCATTAAGCGTTAAGTATATGATAACAATATGAAACTGTTTAATCGTTTTTATGTCTGTTTGTGTATGTTGTTGTATAATTCTTTAGATCACAAGGACATGTTTCCGGATGGTGAATTGCCAAGATGGAATTTTACCGATTTCATGCACTCGTTTATGATTGTGTTTCGTGTATTGTGCGGAGAGTGGATAGAGTCCATGTGGGATTGCATGTATGTGGGCGATGTATCCTGTATACCATTCTTCTTGGCCACAGTAGTTATCGGCAATCTTGTGGTATGTAAACAAATGAAACATTATGAAACAGTGTTGAAATCGTAATTGTTTTTTTTGCATTTTTAGGTTCTTAATCTTTTCTTAGCTTTGCTTTTGTCGAATTTCGGTTCTTCTAGTTTATCAGCACCGACTGCCGACAATGATACCAATAAAATTGCAGAAGCCTTCAATCGTATTGGTCGTTTTAAGAATTGGGTGAAACGTAATATTGCCGATTGTTTTAAGTTTATACGTAATAAATTGACAAATCAAATAAGTGACCAACCATCAGGTGAGAGGATCAACCAGATCAGTTGGATTTGGAGCGAAGGTTTTTATCCACTTGTTTTTTTTAACTAAATATTAATTATATAATTAAATATCTATAAAAATGCTAATATCGAATACGTTCAAAGTAAACCAATCCAAAATTCAAGTTACCCATTGGACTACAAAATCACATTTAGTTTTGTAAAATTGGGAGCATTTAACATGTATATGACATGAGTAAACATACAATATATACTATATATATGTTTGTATGTACATTCATACTTTTGTATGTGTAATGTTGCCCAAATATTAGACTATTTGATTAGTTAGAGTTTTTTTGTGATTTACAAATCTAAATAAGTATAACTAAATATATCTCATAACGTTTTTACTTGTGCAGTTGTAGTAGCTCGCATAATATTTAAAATTTAAATATTTAGTAGAATTTATAACTCTTTTTTAAGTTTCCTTTAACAGAGTTTGAAAACTTCAAATGTATAGAAACATCTTTATGCATTGATTTCATAACTAACATAAATACATTTATGAGTAATTATTTTAATGTACAGAAAAGTACTTAAATACATTTGTTAGAAGACTTTATTTAATCATTAGTTTCGATAGAAGATTTAAACGTTTACTACTTTAATCCATAAAAAGTTTTAAATATACAAATAGAATCTTCTAGTTATATATTATGAAGAAAAACCATTTTACATTTGATGTTTGTCGATATTAAAAAAGACCATTTTGTTTTCGTATTATTAGTAAAGATAATTAGTGTTTGAACTTCAGTTAAACCTTTTTTCTAATTATCAATTAAAGAAATTGTTTAAAAAATTTAATGTAAAACAGTGGATTTTACCCTTCTAATTTTATATAAATGTTTTTATTTTCATTCGTAATGTGAAATTAAATAAAATACAGTTTTCCCTATAAATAAATATAATAAATATCAAGTGGTGCCAAGAAAGTAAACAAAACATGTCGTAACATGTTTATCTAATGTTGTTTTACAGTTGGTCATCTGGAAAACTGTATTTCATTTAATTAAAGTTTTTTTTATTATTTTAACAATTATTTGTTTTGTATGTTTATCATTAGTTTAAAACACATTTCAAATCACTCCATCTATATTTCACATTTATACAAACAAGATTGTCCGGAGCGTATGTAGCTGGTCAATCTTAGCAAATCTCATCGCATTTGTATAATATGTATAATAAAATAGTAATCATCCAGAGTAATATTTAAATATACAGTACAATGCAATTCATTAATCTAAGTCGATGTTGTAAATGTTGTATATTGTAATAATTTGTCCCTTTTTTTTTTTTTTTTTGGTCAAAATTAACTGAAACTTTTTATTAAATTTCGTTTGTTTTTCGTATACGATTTATTTTCATATTAAACGCATCATTTAAATACTTAAAATGCATAAAATTGGTTTGCATCTCCATATAAAAAATCAAAATATAAATCAACTCTACAACATCTGCGTGCTCATTTTTTTCAATAATCTAAAACATCAATAACGTAATGAACGTATCCAATTATCAAACAAATATTGTTTTTGATCAAACCAAAAAATAATTTCCAAAAACAAAAAAAAAAAAAAAAACAATAATTTGAAACAATAAAATTCCTTATTATGATTTGATCAAAATGCAAAATAAAACAAAAATTAATAATAAATGCAAAAAATGGTTGAATGGATACGTTAGGCAAAGGGGTTTGTCGTTGTATATCTGCAGAACATGGTGATAATGAACTGGAATTGGGTCATGATGAAATAATGGCCGATGGTTTAATCAAAAAGGGCCTTAAGGAACAAAATCAACTAGAAGTAGCTATAGGGGATGGCATGGAATTTACCATACACGGTGATATGAAGAATAATAAACCGAAGAAATCAAAATTCTTAAATAACACAACGGTAAGTGGGTTGGAGAGAGTGGATCTCTGTATTCCACTTGTTATTAATTTATTTAATTTCATTTGTATTATAAATTAAACATTGTCTTTTTTCATTTTAAAATATAAAATTGTTGCTCTAGATGATTGGAAACTCAATAAACCACCAAGACAATAGACTGGAACATGAGCTAAACCATAGAGGTTTGTCCATACAGGACGATGACACTGCCAGCATTAACTCATATGGTAGCCATAAGAATCGACCATTCAAAGATGAAAGCCACAAAGGCAGCGCCGAAACAATAGAAGGCGAAGAGAAACGTGACGCCAGCAAAGAAGACCTCGGTCTTGACGAGGAGCTGGACGAGGAGGGTGAATTGGAGGAGGGCCAATTGGATGGTGACATAATCATTCATGCGGCCAACGACGATGAGATAATCGACGATTATCCCGCTGACTGTTGTCCGGATTCATACTATAAGAAGTTTCCAATCTTAGCCGGCGATGAAGATTCGCCGTTTTGGCAAGGATGGGGCAATTTACGACTGAAAACTTTTCAATTAATTGAAAATAAATATTTTGAAACCGCAGTAATCACTATGATTTTAATGAGTAGCTTAGCTTTGGTAAGTTTTTCTCGTAGGAATTTGTTGTCTAAACGCAGCAAGTTCTTGCCAAACCAATGTTCACTAATTGTTGTAAAAAACAAAACAAAAAAAGAAAAAAAAAAAAACGTAAATGCTTTGTAAATTTCAAAGTAGTTTTTTTGTTGAGAAAAACCGTAAAAACTGTACCAAAGTTGTATGACCTTTTTGAAATTTTAGCAAATTTTTATATAGACATTAAGTTTATGGCTTTAACATGTAAATATATTTCATATTTTTTTTTGCGTTCTATTTTATTTGTCTTAATGATTTCCGCTTATAGAAATCATTCAAATAAAAAAGAATGTCACTTTTACAATTAAACGGTCTTTCCAAGCGTACGAGTCACCAAAAACATCCTCAAATGTAAAATATGAAGTGTTTTATTTGAAAGCTCTAGAGTTTACAAATAAAAGTGTTCATGATGTTTTGACTTGCAAGCTTAGGATGAGACTTTGTGCAAAATCCTCCACGTAAAATTAGCTTATTTATGCTTAAAATTAAAATCCCCCCCAAAACCAAAACCCCCCAAAAAACAAGCTTCAATAATTTTGTCTTCAATTTCTTTGAAAATTTTTCTTTTAAATGTTTAAACACCATAGCGTTACGAAGTTGCCTTTTATCCTTAAATGTTCAATGTTCAATTGTAGATGTGTTTTTGGCATTCACGATGTCCTGCACTAATTATTTCAAAAAATTTAACTAATTAATGTTTATTTTTGTTTTTGCACACATAGGCCTTAGAAGATGTTCATTTACCAGAACGTCCCATACTACAGGATATTTTGTACTACATGGACAGGATATTTACGGTGATATTCTTCTTAGAAATGTTAATCAAATGGTTGGCCTTGGGCTTCAAGGTTTACTTCACCAATGCCTGGTGTTGGCTTGATTTCGTTATTGTAATGGTAAGTTAAAATGTTGGCCAATTGGTTTGAAATTAATACAGATAAAATTTTTAAATTGAAATAAACAACAACAACACACTAACTAACGGACAACTTAAAATTTGATTAATTTTAATTTTTCGAAAATACCTAAAAACTGACTTTGTAAAAAATTTTGTATTTATTTAACGTTATCGATTTTGAGTTGTACTTTTAATACTTTAGTCAGTTACTTTTACTTATAATTTATATATTATTTATTGTTATTATTAATATTAATAATGATTAGTTTTGTTTATAGTTTCTGTTAACGTTTTGTTGAACTAGAGAAGCCTTATAAAATGTACTTATACTTAGTATGTATTTAAAACAGTCTTCCAAAAGATAAACAAAATCCCTATGTATTTATTTAGAGTGTAACAGTAAGATTTTTAAAGTACTTTTACCATTAAATAGTTATAGCAAAAACACTTACATACAAACAAACAAACCGAAAAACAGAAAAAACAAACAAACAAACAAACAGACTATTTGGTTTATTGCCAACAAACTTTTAATATTGAATTTAATTGAATGTGTATAGCTGTCGCTTATAAATTTGGTCGCGGTCTGGTCTGGCTTAAATGATATTCCAGTATTTAGATCTATGCGTACACTTCGTGCTTTAAGGCCATTACGTGCTGTTTCTAGATGGGAGGGCATGAAAGTAAGTAAATCTTTTAAACAAAAACTATACGAAATCAGATCTAAGAAAACAACGTATGAGGCTTTTTGTATATTACACATAGCTTTAACTATGTGTGTCTGTTCTAAGATCTAAATCGTAAAACAAAAAAAAAAATACTAAAATTGAAAAACAAAATCCTTAAATGTTGTGTTGCCACCTTAAATGTGTTGGTGTATTATTGCTACTACTACTACTACTATTTGAAAATACTACTACTACTACTTCTACTACTCTCAATGTTAAATGTTTAAACGTACTGTATTTGGTATATAATATACATATAAATACTAATTTACATATATAAATATAACTTTTTTTTTAACTACTTAATCTTTTACTATACAAACAAAAGTGGCTTAAAAGAAAACAAATGAAAAACATACAAGTAATTTTCAGTGTACAAATTCTAACAGACTAACTTACTTATACCTACATAAATATTATCGTATATACATAAACATATTTACTAATTAATTAATTAATTGATATAAATAGTACATAATTTGTATGTATGTATATTTTCTATAAAACAAAATGTCTAATCCTAACACATATATATTGTGGTGCTGCCAAATTTTATTATTTTAATTATTTTCTTGTTTTTTGTAAATCATTAAATGTTTTCATTTTTGTTTTAGTTTTTTTTTTGTTTTTGGGTTTAATTGTGTCTTTTTATAATTTAGGTTAATGTATTATTAAGTATACTCATGAAAACTTTTATTTTAACTGCATAAACAATATTTAGTTGTTAGAAAATATTAACGTATTGCAAAAAGTTTTATTTTCACTAGAAGGACTTTAAATTCTTCAATATTACAAAAAACTCCACTAAATTGTTAATAAATTTCACAGTGCTACAGCTAAACATAAATTAGTTACATTAAACAAAACCTTTTTTTTAAATGTTTCTCAACTGAAAATTGTTCTCTGTTTGGGTTATAGGCTAAAATTAGTTCACAGTGACAAAGGCACTTAAATATAAGATTTTTTGTAGCACAGTGTTATTAATTGATACCAACTATGGTATTGGGTTTAACTGTAAAAGTTTTAATCAAATTAAATTATTTGTTAAAATTTATAGATTTTATAAAAAATACCATAAACATTAAAATTATGTTCAGTTTTGTTAAAATTACATTGATTTTTTTCAAAAATGCTTAAGCTTTGTAAAATAAAGATACATACATACATAAATAACTAACTGTACGTATATGTAAATAAATTATATTTTCATAATTTGCTTTATATATTGTATGTATTGTTGTTTTAATTAAAAAAAATACAGAAAATTTGCCCAAACATCTAGTATATAAACGTAATTATTTATACATATAAACACATACATATAAACATATAGTAGTTACATAAGTAAGTATCAAGTATTAAAGTAGTTGAGAATTAATCTGTAGTTGAAGAGGATACATAATAAAAATTATGTTTATTATAAATATTTACTTAGTTATAATATTAGAAAGTAAATTTGAAGAAAAAAAAACAACAAATTTTTGCTTAGATAAATTTTATTTACCATGAGTAGAGTCCAATACTGTAATAAATTATCTCTTAAAAGGATAATTTATTTGTAACTTTGTAAAGTTAAAATTGTAGCTGTTGTTATATTGATTACTCCTCTACTAAGAGGAAGTTAGAAAAACAATATCATCAAGTAATAAATGTAGCTAAAATTATATTGATCTCTTCTTGCGAGAAGTACGTAAATTAGAAATATCAAATATCAATATAGACAAACACTTGTCCGATCTAATTATATCAAATTTTCATAATTCATACTAGTTACTAGTTACCAAACAAGTGTAAATTGTATTTGTTACTTTAACGATTCCAAGCACTTTTTGAAGTTTGAAAGTAAAACCCAAAACCAATCCACTGTAATAAATGACTAAAGAAGTTCCACACTGTACAAAATTCCAATTGAAACATCAAATGCAAATAATATTTGAATTAAAAAACAAATAAAAAAAAATTGAATGAATTCAAACCTGCGCAGTGGTGGCAGTGTTTTACTTATAAAACTCCTAACACACTAAACAACAGACCGTAATTAGTGAATTAAATCAAATTACAAAAAGATCGCTAAATCGCTTGGTCTTGGGGAATTAGTTTATACTAGTAACAAACAAAAGAAGAACAACAAAAAAAAAACAAAATTATCCAATTTCATTAGAAATTGTTGATGATGATGATTATGGCATTAGTAATGAAGTTGATCAATATATATAAAAGAAAATTTCATACCTGTTTACAGCTACTTCTCCATTGAGTCCTGCAGCTAAGTTAAAAGCAAAAATTTGTCAAGATTAAGACAAGCCAACCTAGTAGATTATTTAATATGAATATATATATCTATACATATCTTTTACCAACAGATCCACAATAAACAAATGTTTTTTTCTTTAATCGTTATCATTAATAAAAAACCACAACAAAAACATCTATTGTATATAATGAAAATATGTATTATTATAACTCACGTACGCTTTCGTATTCGTGTATATAAATTAATATAAATCAGAAACATTTATCTTTACATTTTTACTATATAATCTTAAAACATTTGTTTATAATGGATCTAACTTTAAACTAAATAATTAAGTTATCTATCGTAATATTTACACTCTTACATGTAACGTAAACAAACGTATTTACATATGTTAACATACATAGTAACTATACATATACATACATATGTATGTAATAATAGGTCAGTCCTTCTTTACGTTATTTAATAACGTACTTAGAGAAGGAAAATTATAATTAAAGGCTTTGTCTAGTTGGGTATTTTATGTTTCAGTTTGTTCAGGTTTAAGTACTTGAAACCCGTATTTAACAATGTTAACTCCCGTTATATATTTGTAACTACAATTTGTTAATTAATGGCCAGTTTGTAAGTTTAGTTAATAAGTTTCTATATCTACATTACTAAGTGGCTTTGGCTAGTTTAAAGACAAATTGAATGAATGAAAGGAGGAAAAAGAGAAAATGGAAATTTTATTAAATTGCTAATTCTTCTATTTACTAAATATTTACTTGCTTTTTTGTTCTATATGTATATTTTTGTTTAAACATTTTTAATATTAATTTGATTTTTATTTAATTTTTCTTAAATTTGTTTTTTTTTTTTAATTAATTCTGACTAGTGAGGTGACTGTCAACTGACAAGCAACCAATTAAAAAACATTAGCAAATTAATTAATCTGAACAAACCTTTTAATACTTTTAATAAACATGAATAATTCTTTAGAAAGTCATTTAAAATGACTTTTACTTTTTGTTAACTTAAACTCAAACAATTTAAATGCAAAAAAAATAAAAAAAAAACGAAACAAATTAAAATCCCCAATTATAACCATTTGGCAAACTAGGTGTCGCTAATCAACTTCGTTGCTTCACTTGCTGGAGCTGGTGGTATACAAGCCTTCAAGACTATGCGAACGTTAAGAGCACTGAGACCACTACGTGCCATGTCCCGTATGCAGGGCATGAGGGTACGTACTTTCTTTTTCAACTCATTTCAACATTTTCAATCAATCAAAATATCAATCAGTCAGTCAAAAAAAATATATATACAACATCACACGGACAAATTGTTAAAAACCTTTTAAAAAAAATATATATATATCAAAAAAAAAAACTATAACCACCACTAATTAACTTTGTTAAACACCAAAAATTATATACATACATAAAAATTAAAATTAAAAAAAAATCATTCAAATACTCGTACATTAGTTTTGAATCGTATTATAGTTTCCCTAGCCTTTTTTTACTTAGTCTACCATTCCATTTGTTGTTTAACTTTTTAGTTTCCGTTTCAATTTCTAATTTCAATAAATATTTATTATGTATTAGTAAAGAATTGCCTTCAAGTTTTCATACATACTACTTTTGTTTTTATTTCGTTGAAAACTATATTAAATCACTGTTACCAGAATGAACTTTCATCATAAATTTTTTTTAACCATAATTATAACTAGACTTACGTTATTCTTAAAAAAAATAATCGTACATTTACTTTTTTTTATATAGAATTAATTTTACGAATGCAAATTATTGATTACTTCCATATTTATATATAATTATTTAGCTAGTAGTTTGGAAAAATAAAAGCTTTATTTAAAAAACATGTACATATATAAAAACCATAATTATAATTATATTAACACATTTAAGAAATTTTATAGCTTAAGTTTATATTTTGTAATTCGAATTATTTTAAAACTTAATTATTTTTTTTTCCTTGGCAAATGGTCACTTAACAAGGTTTTAATAATTTATATTGAATTTGTTTTAAATTGCTTTAAAAAAATTATTAAATTAAAAATACACAAACTTGTTAACTGGCATTTTATAATTTTTATTTATTAATAATTTTTAAAACACTTTCGCTTGCACCAATCAATGTCTACAATCTATGGTTTATAAAACACAAACTTCTTAAAACATTTGTTTTATAAACCTTTGTTAAAGTTATAAATTGTTTAAGAATGAAGTTAAAAGCATTTTTTTAATTTTCTGCACTTGTTCGTTCCTGTTGTTTGTCAAAATACTCTATTATATAGAACAATTTGGGATATGAATTAGTTAACACTATCTAAAGCTATGTATACACGGTTGTTAGATCTTACAACGTTGGCAGTAAAATGTGCAGAAAATGTCTAACAACAGTGTCAACTTACAAATTTTGTCTTGCACAACAAATTTTGTCTCTGACAACGTTGCAAAAGAAAAATTGTAAGTTCAACCGATTGTCAGACATTTTACTGACAACGTTGTAAGATCTGACAACCGTGTATCACACCTTTAAGTTTTTGACTAAGCCGAAAAATTTATAACTTGTTGGTTAAAGTTATTATTCTAAAAAAGCTTTCACATACGAGTCGAATTTTTGTTAAATGATTAACTATAACCGATTCCAAATTGTTCATATTTTCTTTTCTGTTCTGTCATGTAGAAACGTCAAAAAAATGCAAATGCTGCATGTTGTTTGTATTCATATTTTGCATGCACTTGTAAAGTATTAGTTTATGTTTAACTATATAAATATAATAAAAACAATTAACACTTTAAATAAAATCACATCATACAATGCAAAACATTTTGTACAATATGACTTCATTAACGCAAACATTAAATTTAGTTTAAATCTCTAACACTTTTATTTAGCCAATATTAGTCGACTATTATTAATAAATTGTATAAAAATCTTCTATTTCCCCAAAACAAAAACCAAAAATAAACACATCTTTAAACAAATCATTAAAAACCATCATTTGCAAAATAACTCATGCCAACCAAAACACCTACCAAATCCACTACAATAACAAAAAAAATATATATATACAAATAAAAACTATCAAACAAACAAAATGCGTTGCCGGCGCTTCCAAAAAAAAAAAACAAATCGAAAAGGTTGTCGTAAATGCGCTGGTTCAAGCTATACCGTCCATCTTCAATGTGCTATTGGTGTGTCTGATATTTTGGCTTATTTTTGCCATTATGGGTGTACAGCTTTTTGCTGGAAAATATTTTAAGGTACGTTACACTATTAACAAAAACAAAACAAACAAAAAAAAAAAAAACCAAATAAATCCTAAACAAAACAAACTCCTTGATTTAGCTTAACTAATGCCAATCAAAGAGTTTTGTAGTCATTACAAATGAATCAGTTCTAAAATAGCAGTTAAAATTAGCACTTTAATTAAACGAAAATTTAAAAAAAAAAATAATAAAAATTTAAATTCAGTAAACGAAAAGCGTATCTTTGCATCTATTTTTCGTAAATAGTTGATAGAATGAAAAAGGTTTTCATTTCCTCAATACTTCACAAAATATGTAGTATAGTGGAATGTTTTAACCTAAAATAAAATGAAACTTGTAAAATTCTAAATTAAAAACTAGAGTGTGTTTTAGTTTAAAAATCGCCTGTAATAAATATATATTTAATAATTTATTTAGTTCATATGCCGCGCGGCTCTAATTGTAAATTTATTAAGAAACGGAAAACAAGACACACCATTTCAAAACCATTTTTAGTTTTGGATATAATATGCTAATTAGCTGCTTTTAGCTTTAAAAAAAAAAAACTACAAAACTGTATTATAATTATTATTATAATTTTTATTTAAATTTAAATTTATATAAATTTTAATAAATTTTATTAATATTCTCTATGTTAACAAAAAACGAAAAACACAAAATTATATACTATATATATAGTGTAAAGATGACAACGACACGGTTTTGAGTCACGAAATCATACCTAATCGTAATGCCTGTATAAGTGAGAACTACACTTGGGAAAATTCTCCAATGAACTTCGATCATGTAGGTAATGCGTATCTGTGTCTATTTCAAGTGGCCACCTTTAAAGGCTGGATACAAATTATGAACGATGCCATTGATTCAAGAGAGGTAAACTATTGATTGACCTTTTCAACTGACTTTGAATAAAATATTTATATGAACTAACTTTAAAGAATTTAACTAATTTATGTTTTTCTATTTTTTACCTTTTTTCCTATTTTATGATTATGATAACTTTAATATATATATATAAATTTAAAAATCTAACTTGTCTTGAAAACTATTAATTTATATATATAAAAAAACAAATTACACCAACCAAAATCCAATCCAACAAACCAAACCAAATCAAATCAAATCACTCTATGTTATGTATGAACCAACAACACACTATATCCAACCAATCAAACCAACCAAATACACATCAATCACATCAAATCAAATCAAACTTACACCAATCAATATCCGATACAATAAAACCTAACAAAAACACCCACAGGTGGACAAGCAGCCGATACGAGAAACCAATATCTACATGTATTTATATTTCGTATTCTTCATTATATTTGGATCATTTTTCACACTCAATCTGTTCATTGGTGTTATCATTGATAATTTTAATGAACAAAAGAAGAAAGCAGGTGGATCATTAGAAATGTTCATGACAGAAGATCAGAAAAAGTACTATAATGCTATGAAAAAGATGGGCTCCAAAAAACCATTAAAAGCCATTCCAAGACCGAGGGTAAGGCTTCGAAATAAAACTAAACAAATAAAAACAAAACAAACTAACCGAAACGAAACGAAAAATCGAAAACGAAAACGTAAAGAAACCCGAAATCGAAACCGAAATTAAAAAAAGAAAACCAACTTTTACTAACATATTAAAAAGTTCTTTTTATTATTTAGACATACCGAACGTATGAAAGAAACATCATATTAAGCAAAAAAAAAACTAATAATTTAGATAAAAACAAACAAACAAAACTAACATTAAAATCTGTGCCAATTTCAAAAACTAATTAAAAACTATATAATTTTTTTTTTCAAAATTTGACACTTTCTCAAAATAGTAAGTCCTTTAAAAGGACCTTAATAGATTTCTATTGCTTTGACTGTGTCCTTTCTCTCCCTATCTCTCTCTTATGTCACATATACAAAAAAAGGTTGTCTGTTATTAAACATTTTTATGTCTGCCATTTGAAGATTTTCAAATGTTTCAACGTCAAACAAATAAATTATAAACAAAAAAAAAACGAACAAATCATTGTTCGTATAATTTCCTTCTTTGTATGTATATGCAATGTATGATTATATACTAATATATATACTAAATACATAAATATTTACTTAATATACCTATGAAAATGGCATGTTTTACTCTTATTTACTTATTAATCTCCTAAGTACTCCTTACTCAAACACAAATCAAAAGGCCAAAAATCAATCAATTAATAAACAATCAAATGTATTTGAATTTCTCTTAATTCCAATTTAAAATAAAAAAATACATAAATTCAAATAAACTTAGACAAGCATGTTAATGCATGCCAAAATTTTGCATTAAGAAACTATTAATAACTAAATCACCTTAAAATAAACCTAACCCAACTAATTACTCTCTCTTATAATTATAATATTTTCAGTGTTAAAGAAAATCAAAATAGAACTGTAATTAAAATTTTAAATATTTTTTCCTATAAAATTTAAAAATTGCAAAAAGAAACTGAAAATATTGTAAATATTTCCCCCAAAAATCGGCAAGAAAAAGATATTTTTTTAAACTTTTTTCCTCTTTTTTTTTTTTGTAATAGAGCACTTTTTGTAAATACCTAATTATTATAAATACAATACAAATTATATTTAATACTTTCATTCAAATTATAATAATTTTTTCAAAGTATTCATAATGCATGTGTATTTGGCCACACATAAACAAACTTGACCACCCAAGGAAAAGCATAAACTGCAACAAAATCATTTGTATATTGGGTTACAAAACGGGGCACTTTTCGAAATAAAATTTCGAAAAAACGTAAATGATTTTTTTTTCTAAGAATTTACCTTATAACTAGTTAGAAGTTTTATTTATTGGCACAGATGAAAATACAGATTGAACAATGCAAACGAAACGCTAACGTAAACGTTATTATAATCGTTATTGTAGCGCAGTTAAATGACAGTTTCAACTATAGAGAGAAAAAAAAAAGAAAACCAATTATATATGTGAAATGTGAAAACTAATATGTTTTTTTTTTGTGCTATTGAAATTATAAATATAAAACGATTTTTTTTCTTCCCTCTTCTCTTCCACATCTTTCTCTATTTTTACAGTGGCGTCCACAAGCAATAGTATTTGAAATAGTTACTGATAAGAAATTCGATATTATCATTATGTTGTTTATTGGTTTAAACATGTTTACCATGACACTCGATCGTTACGATGCATCGGATACATATAATGCTGTCCTTGATTATCTCAATGCGGTATTCGTAGTTATTTTCAGTGGCGAATGTCTATTAAAAATATTCGCTTTACGATATCACTATTTCAAAGAGCCATGGAATTTATTTGATGTAGTAGTTGTCATTTTATCCATCTTAGGTAAGTAACCAAACGTACGTTAGTGGCTTGTTTGATCCGCTACCCGGAGCAACCAAGTCAACAAAAAAAGCCTCCAAAATGCAAAAAAAAAATCCGTTAAATTCTTTGTGTTGTTTTTGTGTAAAAAAAGTAATAACTAACTAAAACCCTTTGACAAAAATACTACAACTTTAAACTGTATATAATCGTAAATACATACTATATATATATATCCTAGTATTTTGGCCCAAGGCTTGCGGTGTTTTTCAGGTTACGACCGCCTCACTTTATGACCGGGGCGAGTTTAACATTGATGTCACTGTACAGCCTTGGGTTTCCTAATGTAAGTGTTGTGCTGTAAACGTTGTTGTTATTAACAACCTTTAATGTTGTGCTTAAGTATACTTAATAATTTTCCCCTCCCCAATAAATATTTATTACCTTTTTAAGTTTAACAATATTTAAACAATTATTATATTATTGTTGCCATTAATATTAACAAAAAAAAATATTTATTCCCTTTTCCCTAAATCCCTTTTATATGTTGCTGTCTAATTTGTATAATAATTTGTTTTTGTATTAATTTATTTAGTTTAATTTTGTAAAAAATATACTAGATATCGTATATATCATACATATAATCTAATGTTGTAAATATTATATCTAACAGTATCTCGTATATTTTTTGATGTTCTTTATTTTAAATTTTATATATTTATATAAATCAAATATAAATATTTTATAAACCAAATTATAAGCTTTTTCTTCCCTTATTTGAAAATCAATTATAATAAGCTTTTTTTAAGTTAACTTTAACTCCTAAAAGCTTTTGTACACATAGATTTTAGAGCTTCTAAAAATTCCAGTTAAAAACGTAAATTCCATAATCGTAAAGTAAAAATTATATAAAACTATTAATACTATTTATTAACAGTAAATCTCATCGAAATCATTAATGTTCGTGTAGTAGAAAATTTAATTAACGAATCATTTCTATAAATTTCATTCGAATTAAATCCGGTAATGATCATTAAATATCAATAAAGTTACTTTCTGTCAATTACTTCGTTGTGTAAAGTTTCAAAATGTAATATGAAAAAAAACACACACACATTTTAAAGTTTATGTGTACAAGGAAGCAAAATAATTTCTGTTTGTTTTTATCCAAGTATTTAAACAGTGACATTCAATCTGAACATCTTAATACTTGCACAAAGCTTCATATCTCGTTTTTTTAATTTTTAAGAAAAATTAAACGCTTTTGCTTTAAGATTCTAAATATTCAAAAATATTTCGAAATATCTTAAGAAAATATGATCATTTAATTAAAATTAGTATACGCCGTGCTTTTCAAAAGTATCGTGTATATATTATTTCGTTTATTGGCATTTCGGACAGTAAGTATTAAAATCAAGAATGTTATAGGAAAAATATGATCCTAATGTATAATTAGAAAAATTTGCAAATAATTTTTTCATTTACAGCTTAAGAGAAAATCAAAAACTAGATTATTTGTTGTAGTACATCTATTAGTGAATCGAGTTAATCTCCAACTCCAATTATAAAGAAAAAAAATTTGATTTTTCAACACAACTTCTGGGTAGTTTTTATAACTACTTGAGATACAAAATATATATAAAAAGCTTCAGCCTTAAATTTCATTAGCTTTATAAAACATTTCTTTGTTTTAAACGAATTTGCACACAAGAAATAAGATTGAATGTCACTGTTTTAATACATACGTAAGCACAATTAAAAAAAAATAAAACAAATATAAATGGCTTAACAAAGTTCTGACCAAATATAAAACGACAACTCTTAAAAGAAAAAAAGAAAACAAAAAAAATAACAAAGTTTAACGCTAAATTTAAAAGATGGCTTAAAATATGCTTTACTACATTCAAAAGCAGCAGAAAGCTTTCATTTCATACCGAATTCCTTTTTGTTTTCATTTTGAAAGCAAACTAGATCTACGTAATGAAAAGAAAGTTTTATTTTATTTCAAAAATAATTTCTGCTGTTGGCTTTAAACTTTAAACTGCGCCTAATAGCTACGAATTTAAGCTCTTCAAATTCCTCAAGTTTCTTCTACTTCAATATTACTACTACGTTAAAAATTAAAAGTTTCTTTAAACTTTGAATTACTTTTTTTTCTTTAATTTAAATGTTTCTTTTACTTGTTAAATTTCAATGTTAAAATAAATGTTCTTCTTTTTTGTTATTAAAAAGTTTATAATTTTGCCAAGCTTAAAAAGCTTTTAAGTTTTATTTTATTTTGTTATTAAGTTAAGACTTATAAAAAAAAAAGTTCCACAAAAAGAATTTTTAACACCAAAGCTTAAAACCACTATTACAAAAAAAGTTATTAGGAAAAGCCTTTTTTAGCTTAAAGCTTATTTGGTATAAAACCAAAAAAAATTATCACTTTGATCTTCAAGTGATATCCATAATGACGAATATATTAATACAACCACTATAATATAATAGAAGCCTTACTAAAGCTCACGAAAATTGAAAATGTCTTCTCGCTAACTAAAAACCAATGAGTATCGCGTTCATCTCTTTTTTATCTCCCTCTGGAATTATATGCTCTATTGATAAAAAGCTTTCAGTGCTTTTGAAAACAATAGAAAATGTACGATGTATATGGCTAATCCGGTGAAACATTAGTACAACAAATGTACAATGTTTTCATCAACGACGTTCGATTCAGTCAGAGATATGTATGATTATGCTTAACTCTCCTTAGAAGGGGGCACTATCTTACATGCCTCTGTAAACTTTTGGATTTGGCATGAAGCTCTTAACATATTAACGCATTTGTAAACGTTTCACAATTGATAATTGTTCATTAAATTTGAAATACGTTTGCATTTGTATCAAAAAAAAAAAATAGAGAAATACACAAAAAGAAAAGAACAGCTTTTGCTTATTCAACTTCTTTTAAATGCTTAAAAACATATGAAATCATGCCAACAAAAGTGTGAATCATTTTAATGGTTTTGGTCCATACTGCCAATGGATATTATGTACTTTACTATGAACTCTCGTAGTTTAATAGTAAACACTCTCTTAAACTTAAACTTAAACAAAAATTTCAACTAAAACAGAAATTAACCAAGCATTTGTAGCAAATCTTATCAGAAACCGAGTGCATTGGAATTATATACATATTTAGTAGTTATTCAACGTACTAACTACCATTTAGATTACTTAGTACTTAAACTAACCTACAATTATAAAATAGAAATAAAAATAACGTTTATTTAAACTTATACTCGTACATTTTATGTTAATGCATGCTTTTTTTCGTAATTTATATTTATATATTTATTAAATATATTTAATTATTAATGTTGTTGTTATTATTTTTATTTCTAACATTTAATAAGTAATTGAAATTGAATGAAATCTAACGTAACGTAATTAATTGAAACAAAAAAGCTTTAATTATTTAAAAAAAAGCTTTTTATGTTTGCTTCAAAACAAAAGAGAACAAACACAACCTCAACAAGGAAGTTAAATAATTAAATAAAATTAGTTAATTATACAGCGATTGGCAATGAGTTTTTTCTTAATTTAAATAATTTCTTAGAGAAATTAATTGATTTCTTTAATTCCAAAAAAAGTTAATTCATAACTAGTTGGTAGTCTCTGCATTCAATGTAGTTACGGTGTCTTTTTCAATTATTGGAACACAAAAATTTGAACTACAATACTATTTCGGAAATCATTTACATAATTGGAATGCAAATATATTTAAATTGTTTTTCCTTTGAGCATCTTTATAAGTTGAAAAAAAAAAAATTCACAACAATTGGTTGGTACTATTTAATGTACACAGTTAATATATACATATCTTTAGTTAGAAATAGTATAAAGACACCTTTACATAGACATGACTCTATGTACTTATACATACTATATATTCCTGTAGAAGCATAAATCATTAGAGATCATTCTATTGATTTTTGCAGTCAGATGACTACGGGCAGTATGAAATCTTTTTCGTCATATGACTACAAATTGAATCAAAGTATTTTCCATAAAATTAACAATTAGAATTATGTAGATAAATTATCTATACTTACATACGCATACTATATGTAGTACAATAAATAATTATATATAATTATTTTAAATTAATTAATTAAAGTAGATGATGATGTTAATAATTTATATAAATATTCCTTGTTGAGGTTGCATGGAAAATAATAATTTTCTATCTCTTTTAAACTTTATAAATAAACTCAACTTATCACTTCCCTTAATAAAGAACTTAGTTGGAGTAGTGTCCAATACTTAAACAATTAGTGCAATAATTATTAATCCTTATTAGAGAACCTCATATGCATTTTAGCAAATCCAAAATAAAATCAATCCTTTAACTCAAATCATTGTCTTAAAGCATTTTCAAATCAACCAATGAACAAAATATTGAGGTTTTCCATTGGCAAAGCTTTCAAATTTCAAATACAAATTCAAACTAAAATGTATCCAAATTATAATGTTACGATATTAACAAACAAAATAAAATTATGCTTTGACAAAATGAAAAAAAAAAAACAAGTTCACAAGTAAGTGAGAAGTGATAATGTTGGGTAGATATTTGCTACTAACCATATGCTACGAATTATCGCAAAAACGTAACAAAAAAAATATCATTTTCTTTTACAAAATAATAGCTAACCAACTAAACTTTCAATCTTAACATCGCCATTACTTTAAAGGCAATAATTGTTGCCAACTAAAGCTTGCTAATGAAGCTTTCATTCAAACAATTCTTGCCTAAATGTTTTATCCATTATTCACCATTAAGTATTTTAACATTTTTCATTTCCTGTACCACCCATGTAACGCTATTTTGTAAAATTTAAATGTATTTCTACATATCCAAATGTCCTCATTTTGATGTTGTAATTATAAATATTTAAAAATTTATTTTATAGTTTTTATTCTTTATTAAACAAAGCGAAAAGAAAAAGTAAAAATTAGCAGAGAGCCTTTTCTTAAAAGCTCCTCCTAAAAGCCGCTAAACAACCAGATGTTTTTAGCTTTGTTCTACTACGCCCAGCTAAGCGAAAAGCCCAGCCTAACCCAGCCTTAAACAATTATATAAATTTATAAATGTTTTACATGTTGTTGTTAATGTTTTTCATTTTATGTTCATTTATACAAGTTTTTATGTTATTAGTTTTGACTAAATATGTATTATTATATATGAAATTATTTTTTGTTTTTTGTTTACAATTATTACTAACCATTTGTTATTAACATTTATAATCGTATAATCTGTGTAACAAAATATGTCAATTGTCCTTTAACAAAAAAAAATTAAATGGATTTTGTTGAACAATCAGTTGTATGCTGTTATCTATCTTTGTACCTTATTTTTCAATTCCTCCCCTCTCTCTTTTTCCTTTTTTTTTGGTTTTCTATGTAACTACAATTTCTTCACACATATAAATATAAATATACAAAAAAATATAAATAGGTCTTGTACTCAGCGACATCATTGAGAAGTATTTTGTGTCACCGACATTGCTGCGTGTGGTGAGAGTGGCCAAAGTGGGTCGAGTCCTGCGTTTGGTCAAGGGAGCGAAGGGTATAAGAACTCTACTGTTTGCGTTAGCCATGTCATTGCCTGCCTTATTCAACATTTGTCTACTGCTGTTTTTGGTCATGTTCATCTTTGCCATCTTTGGGATGTCCTTCTTTATGCATGTCAAAGAAAAGAGTGGCATTAATGACGTGTATAATTTTAAGACATTTGGCCAAAGTATGATATTGCTCTTTCAGGTAAGCTACCACAATTCTCAAACGGTTAATGTTGTCTATTGTTGTTGTCGTTGGGTGATATTCCCTTTGGTATACTATTTTAAAAACGAATTATGAATATTCACACCCTAACACCTCCACACACACATACATACACACATATACCCACACACTTATAAACACATAAACCCCCACACATACTACCCAACTACTAAACACACAGAGAAATACGATCACTGTCACACATTCAAGCGTATGTATATCTAACTAGATAGATAGAGATAGATTACAGTTGGATCGATCAGAGAGCGACCAATCGCTATTGTCGAACTTAGAATTTCCGAAAAATGCAATAACTGTTTTACCTGTTTGCAGTTAAATATTTGTTTGGGTTTCTCTTAGAAAGTTTGACATTTGTTGCATATTTTTTCTTTTCTTTTGACAAGAAGGAGCTTTGAGGTTTGGTCGTTTAACCGTTCCAATCGTGATTTACCTCTTCCTTGCATATGAAAGAGATGAATCTATGTTTGTCTAGAAATACATTGTCTGTGTCAAACTTCTTAACCAACAACAGCAACAAAATAAAATATATCAATTACAAAAATAATAAAAAGAACAGTAAATAGAGAAAAGGGAATATCACGTGTTGATTCAAGCTGCGGTAGTTGTTGGTAAAAGCTAAATTAGTGCGTTCCTTATCTTTACTTAACTAAACCAAATCTGTATACATTCATCTAAAAACTAATCTATTTAAGTTAAATCCTGTAAAAAGGCTTTTGCTGCTCTTACAATTTTCTGTTCAATTTTCTGTTTGTTCGATTTTAATTTACTCTTTTATGCATATTAAGTCTTCAACGTTCACTACTTGTTGTACTCTGTTCTGGCAGCAGATGCAAAATTTTACTAAATGAAGAAGCAAGTTTAATTTTTCATTTGCTGCACGGTTCTGTCAATTTAGAGCTCTCTAACTGGTGGAACTGAGAGTTAACAATAACATTTAAACCCCAATAACGCTTTTGCGGATAAATCCAAAAGCAATGTCACAATTCTGTGAACGCCGAAGGATTAATATCTACATACTTCATTGCATTCCTGCATATCTGTAAATTATGTTTGCTATGTTGTTTAATAATATTAATTTAATTAATACTTAAACATTAAAGTTTTTGTTTTATTAGTTTTAAAATGCTTTTGCCTTAGAAATTTAAAGCTTTTACTTTTATTTGTTAACGAACCCGAATTGTTTAGTTCTCGTTTTGATTTCTTTATTTCTATTCTATTCTACTAACCTGCCCCTTTACTCTATGATTTTAATTTTGAGCTTTTTACAACTCATTTCATTTAAGCTTCCTGCTCTACTCAAAGAAAAAATCTAATTCAGCTCTTTCAACAATCACCAAATTAAATAATGTTAAAATTTCTCATTTAACAGCTTACAGCATTAAAAAGAAAAAAGATGAAAAATGACGCTATTAAAAAAACACTTGTTTTTTTCTGAAATTTACTTCACAAAACTATGGCTTTGCTTTCTTTGAAAAGCTTACTGGGAAAAGTCTACTGAAATAGAAACAGACCAACAAGGCTTTCATTGCAAACAAATGTACAAATACCAATCAATTTAATACCAATAATTTGAGTATTAGCAAATGCTTTCGTAGGATAAATACTTTTCTTTCAAAAGCTTTTCATATAAGCTTTCCAGTATGAAAGCTTTTAAATCATTTTGTCATAATTTTGTATTTGTATTCTCTAGGAATATCTTGAGAAAGAGCTTTCGAGGTTTTTTTGTAAACCTTCATTCTTTCTTTATGTTTTTATTTCTTTGGTAACTTTTGTAGCAATTTTCTAGATATTTAGATTAAATAGTTTATAGTTTTATATATTATTTTTCGTTACTTTGCTTACTGGCCTCCCCCCCTACAAAACATACAAAAAATAAAATTAAAAAAAAAAATACAAGCAAACAAAGTTTCTACTAGAGTTTAGTAATTTTTAGATTTACATACTCGTATACTAAGTACTTATAGGTTTCTTAATTTATGGTTCAGTTGACCATTTGCTTTTTAAAATTAGCTAAATTTGTTTATATTATTAAACCACTACAATTAACCAAATACTAAATACAACTAAAACAAATTTTATTCTACATAGTCTAGAATACATACAACATACATTAATACTTTTTTAATAATCAATCAACCAATCTATAAATTAGTCGATCAGTTATTCAGTAACCCAATCAACCAACCAATCAATCAATTAATAAGTTAATAGTGATTGTTTCGTTAACCAAGAAATGTTTTACTTTATGTTTAATATTTGTACTACTACTACTAATCAAAACCACAAAACAATTAAATATTTTTCTCTATAAAATAAATAACTAATTCCAAATATTTCTACCAATTTCTACCAAACTTTTTTCACTGCTAACAATCAATCAATCAAACAAAACTCTAAATATAAACATGAACGAACGACCACCTGTCTATTCATGTATTCAACTTACCTACCATGCCAACCCAACCGTTTCTAAACTGATAATCTGTGGTTTTACCCGATACAACTGAATTTGATCTTTAAAATAAATTTGATCAAATTATAAAATGAAACAAATTGCATATCAATCCCTGAAACCAAAAACAATCATGTTGTATTCCTAACAAAAACACAGATGTCTACCTCAGCCGGTTGGGATGGTGTTTTAGACGCCATTATCAATGAGGAAAATTGCAAACAACCCGACAACGACAAAGGCTATCCGGGCAATTGTGGTTCAGCGACCGTCGGAATTACGTTTCTTCTCTCATATCTAGTTATAAGCTTTTTGATAGTTATTAATATGTACATTGCTGTCATTCTCGAGAACTATAGCCAGGCTACGGAGGATGTACAGGAGGGTCTCACCGATGACGATTACGACATGTACTATGAGATTTGGCAACAATTCGATCCCGAGGGTACTCAGTACATTCGGCACGATCAGTTGTCCGAATTCTTGGACGTTTTGGAGCCGCCTTTGCAGATTCACAAACCGAACAAGTACAAAATAATATCGATGGACATACCCATCTGTCGGGGCGACATGATGTACTGCGTTGACATTCTGGATGCCCTGACCAAAGACTTCTTTGCACGCAAAGGCAATCCTATAGAAGAGACCGGGGAGATCGGAGAGATAGCTGCCCGACCGGACACCGAAGGTTACGATCCGGTATCGTCGACGCTGTGGCGACAACGTGAAGAGTACTGCGCCCGGCTGATACAGACGGCGTGGCGTCGCTACAAGTATGGCGAACCAGCTGATGCTAAAGCTGCCGACGGCGAAGAAGCTGAAGATGGTGCGGAAGGTGGCAGCGGTAGCGGTAACGGCGGTGGTAGTGGAGAAGGTGCCGATGCGCTTCTAACGGGCGAGGCAGGAGGTCACGAAGATGCTGGTGCTAATGGGGGACCCTTAAGTCCGGGCTGCGTCAGCGGTGGCAGTAACGGCCGCCAGACGGCAGTGCTAGTAGAAAGCGATGGTTTTGTTACAAAAAACGGTCACAAGGTTGTAATACACTCGAGATCGCCGAGCATAACATCCAGAACGGCAGATGTCTGAGCCAGGCCTCGCCCCCCCCTCCAAGATGCACGCGAGAACTAAAGCGTTAATTTTCTGCTAATAATAATATCACAATGTACACACACAACAACAACAATATGAACAACAATAACAACACCGTACAAACAAATGCGCAAATAATTCTTTTGAGTTAAACATACAATAACAACAACAAACAAAAATGCTAAAATATGAAACGGAAACTAAAACATCAGTGAACGTGGGAAGAACGGAACGAATGCAGATTTATTAATTTTAGAACAATAAACAAAAACAACATGTAAAAATTTATAATGTAAAAAATGATAAATGAAGTCAAGAACAAACAAACACAAAAATCATAAATATTGTATTGAAGAAAAAAATATGTTTAACAAATTTCCAACATTTTAAAATATATTTTTTTTCATTTTAATTTAATTTTTCTAGTTTTCTTTCTATAACTTTTTTATTAAATAAACATAAATTTTTATTTCTTTTATTTAGTTTATATGATTATTTTTAAATTAACTACAATGTAAATATATAAGTATTTGAATAAAAAAAATAAACAGAAAACACAACAAAACAATTTAAATTACAAGCTCTGATAATTGTATTGTAAACGGGTTCTTTTTTTATATAAAAAAAAAAACAACAGTTATGATTTTTTTCTACAATAAATAATTAAATACTGAATTAATATTAAAAAAAGAAACAAAAATATTAAAATATGCTTTAAACAAAACACAAAAATTATAATAAAACTATATAAATTTAAGCCGACTGCCAAACAAACAAAAAAATAATAATAAATAAAATATTTTAAATATAACAATGAAAGCACAGCTAAAGTTATAATAATAATAATAATAATTACAACAAAAATAATTTATATATAAAAATAATACAAAAATAACAATGATAATAATGAAAACATAAATTACAACAGAATAATATTAAATTTGATAAAAATTATAATAATAAAATTAAAAATAACACTTTTAAAAGCACACCACCTAAAAAAAACCTAATGATACACAAAACAACAATTACAACAATAACTCTCACTGCATACTTTGAAATACACTGAAAAAAAAACTTGGAGTTGGGGCGCAGAAAACAGAAAAAAAAAACAAAAACAAACCAAAAAAGATCAAAAAAAAAAAAGACGTTACATAAAAAATTTAACAAAAACCTGACGTGTTGTGATGTTGAAAATTTTAAACATAAATTAAAAACATTAAATATAAACTTAAAAAAAACAAAGACAAAAAACTTACAAAACAAAGCAGAACTAAAAACTTTCAAAACAACAAAACAGTGAAGTTGAACAATCTCTTTATACAGAGTTCTCGAATTAGAGAACAAAGAACAAAGGACTTAAAACAAACCGAAAAAAAACTCTAATTGAAATAAAGTGGCAAAAGAGAGCAAAAAAACAATTACAAAAACAATAAATAATATAAAGTGAACTTGTATGTAAACAACAAATCTAAAAGAAAATAACAACAAATTTAGACGTATATAATTTTATAATTTTAAATATAAATTTTTTTCTAATTTCTAATTAAAATAAAATATTACAACAAAAAAAGTAAAAAAAGAGAAACCAACACATTATTTGCTTTAACAAACAAGTAATAAGGCGACTAAGAATGAAAAGTGGTAGAACACAAGAAAAACGAAAACCGGAAATTAAAATAAAAACATAACGCGCTCCTTGTTATAATAATATAATAAACTTGAACGTAAACTTAAGTATAAAACAACTAGAAAATTCATTTTAAAAAATTCGGATTTATAGCTATTTTCAAATACAATTCAGCTAAGAAATTCTTGGCAGCAGGTTTGATACTTAAGTTGACGTTAAATAACTTGTGAATCATAAGCTAAACATTGCAAGAGAACAAAAAATAACAAATAATCAGAATAGATTAAACTAAATAAAGTAATGGCTGAAGAACTCCTTGCAACTTTTAGTTAAAGATCCATTAGTATTTTGAAAATAAAATTAATAATATATTTATGTATAATTTTAAATTTTTTTTATTTATTTTTATGTTGCTTACATTTTATGGTTTAAAGAGCAAACTATATATTATGTTTCAATTGCACACGTCTTAAAGAAGAAAAAAAAAAAAATAAACAAAAACAACGTTTAAAAATGTACCCCCACACTTACACAATACGAATACAAACCAACAAACACCAACACCTACATACACAACTAACATTATTACATAATTTGTATTAAAAAAACATAAATTTATAAATTCCATAAACAATTAAAGAATTGACAAATTTATACAAATTTATTAATATTTAATTTAATAATTTCAAGAGCACCCGTATTCAATTATTTAAATTATAAAAAAACTATAAGAAAAAAACATTAAATTATATACAAAATTGGCTTTTTAACAACAACTATATACTTCTTTTGTTTAGATCTTTTAAACCATTTCAAATCAATTACAGAGCTTTAGCATTTTTAGTAATTAAAATTTAATAATTTTCTTTATGATTTATTATTATTATTATTATATTTTAATTTATTATTATATTTTTAGTTAAAAGCTTTTGGCTTATCTATCAATTTATACATTTTTAAGTTTTTGATTTTTTCCCAAGTTGGAGCAACTTTTCAAACTTTATATTAACAATTCAAAATTGATTTCTTTTAAAATTTTTTTCCTCTATAATAACTTTAAATAACTCCAACTTTCTTTCTAATTAAAAGCCCTTTTTAATTTTTTGTTTAAAATTTCACTTGATTTAATTTTTATTGCGCTGAAAATTAAAACAAACCTCTACAAAACGTGCATAAACAAGTACAAGAAGGTTCGTAACATTTCAACTAATAATTCAAAGCTTACAAAATAAAAATAAAAAAATATATAATTAAAGAACTGCTTCAATCTGTTTACTTTAATTTGAGCTGATTTCGTTTAATTGAATCAATATATAAAAAAAATACCAACAAAAACTAAAAGAAATGTTTGCTATGCAACAGAAAATTAAGTTTTTACATTAAGAACAAACTTGAGTGCACTCTTAACAGCGAGGGGCGGGCGAGATGAAACAAAAAAAAACAAAAAAAAAAACGTAAATAAATAATTTATACATAATTTAGATTAATTATATAAAATATAAATAATAAAAAATTTTATAAAAAAAAAGGAAATTGTTCCTTTGAAATTAAAATTGATTAACTAATAATAATAAAACAACAACACAAAACAAAAAAAAAGGAACAATATGCAAAAACATTGCCATTTAGGAAATTTAATAAAATACTACAATAATATAATAACAAATTATAAAAAATTATAAAAAATAATAACAACAACAATAAATAATAATAATAATAAAACAAAGGTCGCGTTATTATTTTTGCTTCTTCTTCTATATTTCTACAATAAGACAAAAAAAATTAAATTGACTTCAAAAGAGAGAAAAACAAAATAATAATAAAAATTTAATAAAATAGCTATGAATTTCACTGATTAATTTAATAAAAAAATATATATATATATAAAAATCCATAAAGAGCTTTAAGTGTGTATAATAATTAAAACAAATAATTTGTTTTTTTATTTAATAATTTTGTTTAATTTTTTTTTTTTTTTTTAAATTGTAAAAAGTCACTTACTTATTATATAAAATTATTATAAAAAAAATTGCTATGCCATTAAGCCTTTAGACTTATTATTAAAATTAACGTTAAAGTATAAAAAAAATTAAAACCAAAAAAAATTAAACTCAAGGAAATTCACAGTTGTTTTCTTCTCCTCAAAGAACTCTAAAAAAAATAACTTTATTAAAATTACCAAAAAAAAACTCTAATTATATAGGGAAAAAGCAAAAATATGTAAATTATATTTTTTTTATGTAAAATTATGCGCGATTTCATAAAAATATAACAAAAAAAAAACAACAACAACTTTTTAAATATCAACAGCAATGGCTTTTTTGTTAATTAACCTTACTAAATAATACAAATAATAATAATAAATATAAAATTAATAAAAAATAAATAAATAATAACTAAATAAAAACTAAATAATATTAAAAAAAACTTTAGCTTTATACATTGTAAATTACCTTAATTATAAGTCTAGCTAATTAAAATTAATAATAATTAAAAAAAAAAAACAAAAGCAAAAAAATTTCAAAAAAAAAAAATAAGAAATGAAAACGAAGCTCTGATTTAAGAGCATTTAGGTAAACAATTAATTTAATGTCTTTAATCATTAAAAAAATAATAAAAAAAGCAAATGCATTCTATAAATATAAAGAAAATAAAAACCACAACTCTCCCAAAACAAAAACAAAAAAAATAAAAATAAAAACCTTAAGTAAATTGTAATTTCTACCACAATTAGTGTGTAAAGGCGCCAGTTTATTATAAAAACAAAACAAAAAAACAAAACATTTATTCAAAATAACTTTGCTTAATTTAATTTGCATTGTTTATAAATACATACGTAAGAGTCTCTCATACCTACAAAAACAAAATAAAAAATATAAAAACTTTTATTTTGATTTCAAGGAGGAACTTATACAAAACTTCTACCAAAAGTACTTTTATTCTTTATTCCTTCCCTTTGAACAAAATTCTTCTATATAAAATAATATAATCATCACTCATGTGTTTTAGAAGTCAAAAACACATTTAAAGTTATTGTTCAAAGTTCAACTACTCTTAAAAGCTTTTGAAAGCTTTAAATTGTTTCAATTTGCTTTTAAGCAAAGTTTAATAAAATCCTCCTCATAATCCTCTTTAATATGAATTATTATTTTCAGTTTTCAAAAATATTTCGACCTGAAAATCTACAAAAAAAGAAAAACAAATCTCTACGTACAAATTTGCCTACGTGATGTTAAAAAGAAAAAACTACTACTAAAACCAAAAACAAAAAAAAGAAATTAACAAAATTTAAAACTTTAAAAGCATTTGTTATATTTTTATTGTAACTAATAATTAAAGTTATGTTTAAAACATACTTATGTATTTCATAATTATTTATATACATTAACTCTTAACCTTTAGTTAAGTTACAAACAAAAAAATTAACCTTATTAACTTGTTTAACTAGTTTTTTTCATTTTGTTTACAACCTGGATATGGCTAATAGAAGAAGATTTCAAAAGTTATAGTAAAATTAACAAACTAAACACTAGTTAGTTCAGCGTCCTTTGCACTTTTTAACATATATTTTTTTGTTTACATATGAAAATCTGCTTAAACGTCTATCACCAGAAAAAAATAATATTTGATTAAATAATTAATTAACATTTTCCAGATTTGTATTGTATGATAAATGTATTTTTTGCTATAAATATTTATGTGAAATACAAAAAAAAAGTAAAAGAAAAAGAAAAATATTTCCATCCAAATAGCTTTTAACATAAGCAATTGATTTATTAATTAAATTTAAAATAAACAAACAAACAAACAAAAAAATAAACAAATAATCAGATATAAAATACTTATATAAAAAAATATATTTAAAAAATAGACTGAGATCGTTAAACCAAAAATAAAACTAATACAAAAATTATTAAAAAAAAATGAAAACTACGCCAGTATAACAGACATTTTACTCAGACAAACATAAATATATATTTTGGCACTCACACGCTTTACAATTCCCTAAATAATAGAATTCTTAATTTTGTCTCCTTTAATAATTAATTAGTCTGCCCCCTGAGTATTAGACGAGCTTTAGAATATCCAAAGTTTTTATTCGTTGAAATTTATAATTTTAATTGGTAATGCTTTCTCAAACTTTCAGCAGGGTTTTCCAACAAAGACTCTAATATATAGCAACTTCCCCGGCTATGTTAGAGTAAATTGAAAAAAGAATAATTCCCAATTATTTGCTTTTTCTACACACCTGCCTCTGCCGCATACTTCTATTAGCAATATTCTACATTAATAAATGTCTTTTCTAATCTTTTTAAAATCCTTTTGTTCTACCAATGTTTTTTTCTTACTAGACATACTTTAGACCCAATTAGTACCTTCAGCAAAACTGAAAATACCATTTACCTTAATCTCTTCAAAACTAAAAACTAAAAACTCCTTAAAATATTTCATATCTTTTTACATTTTTGTTTATTTCCCAAAATAAAAAAACTCAAATCTATTTATAAATAAAAACAAAATAAAACACAAAATCAAATTGTTAAGTTTGAATCTTTTTTACAAAAAAAATTAAGATTTTATATGAATCTATTATAAAAAATCTCTAAAATAGCAAAAAAAAAATAAACTTTGTTTTTTTACATTTAATTAAAGATTTAAACTAAGTTTAAATGATTACTGTATTTATGAAAAAAAAAAACAAAAATGCCTGAAATTTAATAATTAACTACTGCAAGAGGTACTTAAAATACAAAAGATCCCAATTTAACAAAACAAAATGCACAATAAAATTTAAATCTTATGTAATAAAAAAAAAATCTTTAAAATCATCTTCTATACAAAATAAGCAGTTTATAATACATTAATTTTTATAATAATTTTCTCATCTTATAAATATTCCAACATTTTTTTATATTTGTGTATTTATGATTTTCAAAATATTCATAATATTTTTGATTTTTAATAAAAAAATAATATATAAAAAATCGTAAATAATACAAACAACTTGTATAAAAACAAAAAGTTAAACCAGATAAATATTAAAGCGAACATTTTTTCACACTTTAGCTTAATAAATTGTAAAATACAAACAAAAAAACAAAAACTGAAATAAAATGAAATTTAATTGAATTTGTTATGCAAATGGAAAAACTTTTGTATTTATTTTATAACTAATGGATTTAGTTTAAAACAGGTAAGAGTTTAAATACAAAGAGTATCAAAAAATTCACTCTCAAAGATTTTCATACTAGGTTGAATAATGAAAGAAAAACCCATAAGTACCAGTTTAAGAACAAAAAAGTACCAAAACTCCTTTCCCACTGAATTTCATTCAATAAGCACTCTGAATGTTTAATTTTATGTTTCAAGGTTCAATATTATAGAAAATTCCAAAAAGTACCTTATGAAAGACGAAAAAGTACCAAAAAGTCACCTTTTATAGGTTTTCACACCATCATGATCCTACATTATATGTTTCTACGTTCAATATTGCAGAAAAACCAAAAAGTACCAGTTTAAGAACGAAAAAGTACCAAATTCATTCTATCAGCACTGTGAATGTTTAATTTTATGTTTCTAGGTTCAATATTATAGAAAATTCCAAAAAGTACCTTATGAAAAACGAAAAAGTACCAAAAAGTCCCCTTTTATAGGTTTTCACACCATCATGATCCTACATGTCTGATTATATCTCTAGTTTCAATATTGCAGAAAAACTAAAAAGTACCAGTTTAAGAACGAAAACGTACCAAAACTCCTTTCCCACCGATTTTCATTCAATCAGAACTCTGAATGTTCCATTTTATGTTTCTAGGTTCAATATTATAGAAAATTCAAAAAGTACCTTTTTTTTATAGGTTTTTACGCCATCATGATCTTACATGTCTGATTATATGTTTCTAGTTTCAATATTGGAGAAACCCCCAAAAGTACCAGTTTAAGAACGTAAAAGTACCAAAACTCCTTTACTACTGATTTTCATTCACTCAGGACTCTGAATGTTTAATTTTATGTTTCTAAATTCAATATTAAGAAAAAACAAATGTACCTTTTGAAAAACGAAAAAGTACCAAAAAGTACCCTTTTGTAGGGTTTCACACTATAAGGATTCTACATGTCTTATTATATGTTTCTAGTTTCAATATTGCAAAAAACCAAAAAGTACCAGTTTAAGAATGAAAAAGTACCAAAATTCCTTTCCTACTGATTTTCATTCAATCAGGACTCTGAGTGTTTAATTTTATGTTTCTAGGTTCAATATTATAGAAAATTCCAAAAATACCTTTTGACAAACGAAAAAGTACCAAAAACTCACCTTTTATAGGTTTTTACGCCATCATGATCTTACATGTCTGATTATATGTTTCTAGTTGCAATATTGGAGAAACCCCAAAAAGTACCAGTTTAAGAGCGTAAAAGTACCAAAACTCCTTTCCTACTGATTTTCATTCACTCAGGACTCTGAATGTTTAATTTTATGTTTCTAGTTCAATATTAAGAAAAAACAAAAAGTACCTTTTGAAAAACGAAAAAGTACCAAAAAGTACCCTTTTGTAGGGTTTCACACTATCAGGATTCTACATTTCTTATTCTTATTCTTATTATATGTTTCTAGTTTCAATATTGCAGAAAACCAAAAAGTACCAGTTTAAGAACGAAAAAGTACCAAAACATCTTTCCTACTGATTTTCATTCAATCAGGACTCTGAATGTTTAATTTTATGTTTCTAGGTTCAATATTATAGAAAATGTAAAAAGTACCGAAAAGGGACAAAAAAGTCCCCTTTTATAGGTTCTCACTTATACCCAACTCTGCATGCTTAACTTCATGTTTCTAGGTTCAATATTATACAAAATTCAAAAAGTAGCTTTCGAGGAACAAAAAAGTTCTAGAAAGTCCCATTTATAGATTCTCACTTACTCCAGGCTCAACATGTTTAATTTTATGTTTCTAGTTTCAATATTGCAGAAAAACCAAAAAGTACCAGTTTAAGAATGAAAAAGTACCAAAATTCCTTTCCTACTGATTTTCATTCAATCAGGACTCTGAATGTTTAATTTTATGTTTCTAGGTTCAATATTATAGAAAATTCAAAAAAGTACCTTTAAAAAAACGAAAAAGTACCCAAAAAGTCCCCTTTTATAGGTTTTCACACCATCATGATCTTACATGTCTGATTATATGTTTCTAGTTTCAATATTGCAGAAAAACCAAAAAGTACCAGTTTAAGAATGAAAAAGTACCAAAACTCCTTTCCTACTGATTTTCATTCAATCAGGTCTCTGAATGTTTAATTTTATGTTTCTAGGTTCAATATTATAGATTATTCAAAAAGTACCTTTTGAAGAACGAAAAAGTACCAAAAAGTCCCCATTTATAGGTTTTCACACCATCATGATCCCACATGTCTAATTATATGTTTCTACGTTCAATATTGCAGAAAAACCAAAAAGTACCAGTTTAAGAACGAAAAAGTACCAAAACTCCTTTCCCACCGATTTTCATTCTATTTTATGTTTCTAGGTTCAATATTATAGAAAATCCAAAAAGTACCTTATGAAAAACGAAAAAGTACCCAAAAAGTTCCCTTTTATAGGTTTTCACACCATCATGATCCTACATGTCTGATTATATATCTCTAGTTTCAATATTGCAGAAAAACCAAAAAGTACCAGTTTAGGAATAAAAAAGTACCAAAATTCCTTTCCTACTGATTTTCATTCAATCAGGACTCTGAATGTTTAATTTTATGTTTCTAGGTTCAATATTATAGAAAATTCAAAAAGTATCTTTTGAAAAACGAAAAAGTACCAAAAGATCTCAGAGTTACAAATAATATCTCATTACATATTTAAGTTTTCAATTTTTAAAATAAGTATATTACAAAAATACATGTACAACAGTTTAAAAATTCTAAAGGAAAATCATGGCAAAAAGAAATATACTTACTTGTTTAACACACATCCGCTTCCGTTGACAATTTGTAGATTATACGTTTCATTTCCTCTTCTCTACTTTCATAACATTAACGTAGGATACTTTTAGGAATTTCATATTTACTTTTATATGAAGAACTTTTTCAACACATTTTAAAAAGCTTTATTTTTAAACTCTGCTTTTTGCACTAAAAACATTGCACACTTTCAGATAACAGCGACCACCGGCGTAAATTCTAATAACTCTACACTTTCTTTAATATTTCCGGAGATTTCGTTAGTAACATTTGTTAAAAGCTAAGACATTTACCTAAATCTTTTTTCTCCATCAATTGTGATAAAAACATAACACTTAATAAAAAAGGGCACCTAAAAATACTTTACACATTTTTGCTATAAACTAACATCAGTAAAAACTAAAATTTTTTATTGCCGACTTTATATCTGCATAAAAAGAAAACAAACAAAAATAACACCAATACTTTTTTACACTTTGTATAAACGCTACGAATGGCAAGGTGAAAAGGAATTAATGGCCGACTGCAATTTTAATAACTTTAAACACTTTTTATTAATATTTCCTGTGATTTTTCATGGAAATTTTTATACACATTGATAAAACAACACTTTTATTATATTTTTTTGCAAAAAATTAAAAATTTTCTTTATTTTTTTCCACTGAAATTAATAATTTACTAAGAAACTTCTACCGAACGTCCGAACCGTGTGAAAATTACGCGAGAACTAAATTTGACAAGTGACAAAGCAACAACTTGATTGCAATTGCAACTGCTGTCAACAAACTACACAAAAAGAAAGGGCGATAGCCCTTGGCTTTATTGCGTTGTGTATTTTGTTTTTTGGGTATTTTGTTTACTATGTTTGGATGGCTGTGTGTTTCATTGCATTGTGTACATTGTTTTTGTTTCTTGCTGTATTCAGTTTTATATGTTTGGATGTCTGTTGGTTTCATTGCCTTGTGTATCTTGTTTTTTGGTTTTTTGTTTAGTATGTTTGGATGTCTGTTGTTTTCATTGCGTTGTATATTTTGTTTTTGTTTTTTTGCGTATTTTGTTTAGTATGTTTGGATGTCTGTTGGTTTCATTGTGTTGTGTATTTTGTTTTTGTTTTTTGCGTATTTTGTTTAGTATGTTTGGATGTCTGTTGGTTTCATTGCGTTGTGTATTTGATTTTTGTTTTTTGCGTATTTTGTTTAGTATGTTTGGATGTCTGTTGGTTTCATTGCGTTGTGTATTTTATTTTTTTTTAGCGTTTTATGTTTAGTATGTTTGGATGTCTGTTCAATGCGTTGTGTATTTTGTTTTTATTAACATTTCCTGTGATTTTTCAAGGAAATTTTTATAAACATTGATAAAACAACACTTTTATTATATTTTTTTGCAAAAAAATATAAATTTCTTTATATTTTTCCACTGAAATTAATAATTTACTAAGAAACTTCTACCGAACGACCGAACCATGTGAAAATTACGCGAGAACTAAATTTGACAAGTGACAAAGCAACAACTTGATTGCAATTGCAACTGCTGTCAACAAACTACACAAAAAGAAAGGGCGATAGCCCCTCGTTGTGTATTTTGTTTAGTATGTTTGAATGTCTGTTTGTTTCATTGCGTTGTGTATTTTTTGTTTGTTTTTTTTTTCGTATTTTGTTTCGTATGTTTGGATGGGTGTGTTTCATTGCCTTGTGTATATTGTTTTTGTTTCTTGCTGTATTCAGTTTTATATGTTTGGATGTCTGTTGGTTTCATTGCCTTGTGTATCTTGTTTTTTGGTTTTTTGTTTAGTATGTTTGGATGTCTGTTGTTTTCATTGCGTTGTGTATTTTGTTTTTGTTTTTTTTTTGCGTATTTTGTTTAGTATATTTGGATGTCTGTTCAATGCGTTGTGTATTTTGTTTTTTATTAATATTTCCTGTGATTTTTCATGAAAATTTTTATACACATTGATAAAACAACACTTTTATTATATTTTTTTGCAAAAAATTATAAATTTTCTTTATTTTTTTCCACTGAAATTAATAATTTACTAAGAAACTTCTACCGAACGTCCAAAACGTGTGAAAATTACGCGGGAACTAAATTTGACAAGAGCAAGAGACAAAGCAACAACTTGATTGCAATTGCAACTGCTGTCAACAAACTACACAAAAAGAAAGGGCGATAGCCCTTGACTTCATTGCGTAGTGTATTTTGTTTTTGTTTTTTTGGTATTTTGTTTAGTATGTTTGAATGTCTGTTTGTTTCATTGCGTTGTGTTTTTTTTTTGTTTGTTTTTTTTTGGGTATTTTGTTTTTGTTTTTTGGGTATTTTGTTTAGTATGTTTGAATGTCTGTTTGTTTCATTGCATTGTGTATTTTTTGTTTGTTTTTTTTTCGTTTTTTGTTTCGTATGTTTGGATGGGTGTTGGTTTCATTGCGTTGTGTATCTTGTTTTTTGGTTTTTTGTTTCGTATGTTTAGATGTCTGTTGTTTTCATTGCGTTGTATATTTTGTTTTTGTTTTTTTGCGTATTTTGTTTAGTATGTTTGGATGTCTGTTGGTTTCATTGTGTTGTGTATTTTGTTTTTGTTTTTTGCGTATTTTGTTTAGTATGTTTGGATGTCTGTTGGTTTCATTGCGTTGTGTATTTTGTTTTTGTTTTTTTTTTTGCGTATTTTGTTTATTATGTTTGGATGTCTGTTATCTTCAATGTGTTGTGTATTTTGTTTTTTTTTTTCTGTTTTATTTCGTTGTTGTCGTTCCTTTTGTTTTGCTATTGCTAAAGTAATGATACAGTCGGGAAAATTAAATTAATTGAAATTTTATAACATTAATATTTTTTAAATACACTATGGTGAAGAGTATATAAGATTTGACAAAAGCGAATACTTACTTGTTTTAATCGTACATTCGTTAAGAACCTCTGTTGTATTTTTAATAAACAAACAACAACAACACAAATAATAATACGGTACATTTTGATCTTGCACTTGCATGTTACGGATGAAACTGTATTCAAATGTTACTTTTTGAATTTTGTTTAATATTGGACCTTGAAACACGGATTAAGGGAATACATATATTTATTTATTTATTTATTTCAACTTAAACCTAAGAATAAATTCTAAGTCTAAGAAAAATAGCATAGAGCACTAGCATCTGCGGCCATCAGCTCATGGGAATACATATAAAAAGGGACTTTTTGATACTTTTTCGTTCTTCAAAAGGTACCTTTTGAATTTTCTATAAATTAGACCTAGAAACATGAAATTAAGCATGTAGAACCCGGATTAAGGAGGAACATATAAAATGGGACTTTTTGATACTTCTTCGTTCTTCAAAAGGTACTTTTTGAATTTTCTATATTATTGAACCTAGAAATAGATAATTGAGCATGTAGAGCCCCAATAATTGAGAACATTTTTGTTACTTTTTCGATCTTTAAAAGGTACTTGTTGAACTTGGCTTAGAGCAAGTGATAACCTTTTGGTGCTTTTTGGTTTTTCAAAAGGTACTTTTTGAATTTTCTTAATATTGAACATAGAAAAATGAAATTAAGCGTGTAGAGCCCGGATTAAGGGAGAACCTGTAAAATGGCACTTTCTGGTTCTTTTTCGTTCTTCAAAAGGTATTTTTTGAATTTCCTTTAATATAGAACCTAGAAACACATAATTGAATATGTAGAGCGCGGAATAAGTGAGAACTTATAAAAAGGCACTTTAGGACTTTTACCTTCTTCAAAAGGTACTTTTTGAATTTTTTATAATATTGAACCTCGAAACGTGAAATTCAGCATGTAGAGCCTGAACTATATGAGAACCTAGACTTTTTGGTAGCCATAATATGGAACTTTTTGGTACTTTAGCTGCTACCATATTGACTAGAACTCTTTGGCCCTTATATATCCCACTTAGCACTCTATCAGATAATTGTTGTTTTTTTATCAATCAATTGCTTAAATATTACAGAGGCAAGGTACAATTCAACATAAATGCTTTATTATGAAAAATAAATTACATCTTATTCTTATAACTGGTGTAGGGTGTATATATTTCTTTTCTTGGACCAGCAAAAATGAATTTTCCCTGTAATGTGTTGTGCGGTTCACTGGCCAATCGACTACAAATGGGTGTGTTCTTAATGAGAATCGTGTGGTGCTTAAACATATATGGATATCTTGAACGAAATCCCTAATATCAGAGGAGCACATTTCATTATAGTATCTATAGAACAGTTGCAACATTGCAACAGTAAAGTTGAATACCCTACTGTCACCGATAAGTACCATCGCCCTCTCTTGTACGCGGTCGAGTAGCTCGAAAATAAACTTCGAAACTCCGACCCATGAGAGTTGTATGCTATTTTCGTATTTCCATATACTTGTTATATTTGCCTTTGATGAAAACAAAAACTTTATAAATTAGCATATTTTTTGTCTTTAACTTCGTTCGTTTAATAAAATGAAATTTGGTACATTGTCCAAGGAACAAAGCCTATAGGAAATAGTTCATTCATCATTCCACCTATTAAGCCCCATACAACTGATACTGATGAAAAATAAATCACATTTTATTTTCATAACTTGTGTAGGGTATCATAAGGTCGGCTATACCCGTCTATAATATTTTACCTGTTATATTTGCCTTTGACATCAAACTTTAACAAAATATTTAGCAACAGTATACCGGTACTTGTACATACATACATGTAATACACACTTTTCTATTAATAAATCTTATTAAAACAGATTAAACCAAGATTAATATCCAATCGTAGTGTATTACAATTGTCAAATTGACATTAAAATGTCTCTCTTTCATATGACAACATTTATTATTAATTAAACTTCATTATTACGTTTCCTTCCTAAATATGTAAATACATAAGTAAAAAATCCTTCTGCTCCCACACATACACTTTCACTTTAACTCATTTATTTAAGTTATTTGCGCAAATTCATGCTCTCTCTCTCTCTCTTACTCTTTCATATTTTTATGTCACTTTTTAAAGAGATTTTTTTCTTTACTTTGTTACTAAATCTAGTTCACGCGCAATTTTCATACGGTTCGGACGTCTAGTAGAAGTGTCTTGATAAATTAAAAATTGTGGGGTTAAAAAATAGGGGAAATTTAATATTTTTTGCATAAAAACATAATAAAAGTGTTGTTTTATATCTGTGTATAAAAATTGTATTGAAAAATCACCGGATATATCAGAAAAAAGTGTTTAAAGTTATTAAAATTAGAGCCGATCGCTGTTTCCACTTCACCTGGCCGTTCGTAGCGTTTGTATAAAGCACATACATACTTATGGATGTATGTATGTAAAAGTGTTGATGTGCTGTGAAAATAAGCCAGGCAATATAAAAGTTTGGTTTTTAAAGTTTTTTTAACTTTTATAGTATCTTTTTAGGTGCTTGTTTTTATTAGTAGAGAAGTGGGTGGATGGCTTAGCTATTAAATGCCAGTTTTTTAGCAAATACATGCACACACCTCTTTTCTTATATAAAATTGATATTTCCTATAAATATGCTATAGTTAATTGCGCATATAAATTAATTATCTCTGTCTATTACCTCTTTTCTTATATAAAAGTGATATTGCCTATAAATATGCTTTAGTTAATTGCGCATATAAATTATTTTTCACACGTTTCGAACGTCCAGTAGAAGTGTTTTAGTAGTTTAATAATTTTGTTTACTAAAAATGATGTTTATGTTTTATGCTAAAATTTAATAAAAATGTTGTTTTACATCTGTATATAAAAAAGTCCTCGAAAAATTACAGAATACATATATGTATAGGAAAAAAATGTGTATAGTTAGTCATTAGAACCGGTCGCTATTTCCTCCATTCGTATAATACATATTATGTAAGTGCAATGTTTTCAATATAAAAAGAGCAGAGCTAAGAAAATAAGAAAAAGTATTTATA